TTTTGGGAAATGATTTACACTGTAAACATCAGGTCTGTTTTAAGAAATGATTTACACTGTAAACATAAGGTCTGTTTTGAGAACTGATTTACTCTGTAAACATAAGGTCTGTTTTGAGAAATGATTTACACTGTAAACATAAGGTCTGTTTTGGGAAATGATTTACACTGTAAACAAAAGGTCTGTTTTAGGAACTTATTCACACTGTAAACATAAGGTCTGTTTTGGGAACTGATTTATACTGTAAACATAAGGTCTGTTTTGGGAAATGATTTACACTGTAAACATAAGGTCTGTTTTGGGAAATGATTTAAACTGTAAACAAAAGGTCTGTTTTGGGAACTGATTTACACTGTAAACATAAGGTCTGTTTTGAGAAATGATTTACTCTGTAAACATAAGGTCTGTTTTGGGAAATGATTTACACTGTAAACAAAAGGTCTGTTTTAGGAACTGATTTACACTGTAAACATAAGGTCTATTTTTAGAAGTGATTTACACTGTAAACATAAGGTCTGTTTTGGGAAATGATTTAAACTGTAAACATAAGGTCTGTTTTGGGAACTGATTTACACTGTAAACATAAGGTCTGTTTTGAGAAATGATTTACTCTGTAAACATAAGGTCTGTTTTGGGAAATGATTTACACTGTAAACAAAAGGTCTGTTTTAGGAACTGATTTACACTGTAAACATAAGGTCTATTTTTAGAAGTGATTTACACTGTAAGCATAAGGTCTATTTTTAGAAGTGATTTACACTGTAAACATAAGGTCTGTTTTGGGAAATGATTTACACTGTAAAGAAAAGGTCTGTTTTAGGAACTGATTTACACTGTAAACATAAGGTCTATTTTTAGAAGTGATTTACACTGTAAACATAAGGTCTGTTTTGGGAAATGATTTAAACTGTAAACAAAAGGTCTGTTTTGAGAACTGATTTACTCTGTAAACATAAGGTCTGTTTTGGGAAATGATTTACACTGTAAACAAAAGGTCTGTTTTAGGAACTGATTTACACTGTAAACATAAGGTCTGTTTTAGGAACTGATTTACTCTGTAAACATAAGGTCTGTTTTGGGAAATGATTTATACTGTAAAAATAAGGTCTGTTTTAAGAAATGATTTACACTGTAAACATAAGGTCTGTTTTGAGAACTGATTTACTCTGTAAACATAAGGTCTGTTTTGAGAAATGATTTACTCTGTAAACATAAGGTCTGTTTTGGGAAATGATTTACACTGTAAACAAAAGGTCTGTTTTAGGAACTGATTTACACTGTAAACATAAGGTCTATTTTTAGAAGTGATTTACACTGTAAGCATAAGGTCTATTTTTAGAAGTGATTTACACTGTAAACATAAGGTCTGTTTTGGGAAATGATTTACACTGTAAACAAAAGGTCTGTTTTAGGAACTGATTTACACTGTAAACATAAGGTCTATTTTTAGAAGTGATTTACACTGTAAACATAAGGTCTGTTTTGGGAAATGATTTAAACTGTAAACAAAAGGTCTGTTTTGAGAACTGATTTACTCTGTAAACATAAGGTCTGTTTTGGGAAATGATTTACACTGTAAACAAAAGGTCTGTTTTAGGAACTGATTTACACTGTAAACATAAGGTCTGTTTTAGGAACTGATTTACTCTGTAAACATAAGGTCTGTTTTGGGAAATGATTTATACTGTAAAAATAAGGTCTGTTTTAAGAAATGATTTACACTGTAAACATAAGGTCTGTTTTGAGAACTGATTTACTCTGTAAACATAAGGTCTGTTTTGAGAAATGATTTAAACTGTAAACATAAGGTCTGTTTTAGGAACTTATTCACACTGTAAACATAAGGTCTGTTTTGGGAACTGATTTATACTGTAAACATAAGGTCTGTTTTAGGAAATGATTTACACTGACAACAAAAGGTCTGTTTTGGGAAATGATTTACACTGTAAACATAAGGTCTGTTTTGGGAAATGATTTACACTGTAAACATAAGGTCTGTTTTAGGAACTTATTCACACTGTAAACATAAGGTCTGTTTTGGGAAATGATTTACACTGTAAACATCAGGTCTGTTTTGAGAACTGATTTACACTGTAAACATAAGGTCTGTTTTGAGAAATGATTTACACTGTAAGCATAAGGTCTGTTTTGAGAAATGATTTACACAGTAAACATAAGGTCTGTTTTAGGAACTGATTTACACTGTAAACATAAGGTCTGTTTTGGGAAATGATTTACACTGTAAACATAAGGTCTGTTTTGGGAAATGATTTACACTGTAAACATCAGGTCTGTTTTGAGAACTGATTTACACTGTAAACATAAGGTCTGTTTTAGGAAATGATTTACACTGTAAACATAAGGTCTGTTTTGGGAACTGATTTACTCTGTAAACATAAGGTCTGTTTTGAGAAATGATTTACACTGTAAACAAAAGGTCTGTTTTGAGAACTGATTTACTCTGTAAACATAAGGTCTGTTTTTAGAAATGATTTACTCTGTAAACATAAGGTCTGTTTTGAGAACTGATTTACTCTGTAAACAAAAGGTCTGTTTTGAGAACTGATTTACTCTGTAAACATAAGGTCTGTTTTTAGAAATGATTTACTCTGTAAACATAAGGTCTGTTTTGAGAAATGATTTACACTGTAAACAAAAGGTCTGTTTTGAGAACTGATTTACTCTGTAAACATAAGGTCTGTTTTTAGAAATGATTTACACTGTAAACATAAGGTCTGTTTTGGGAAATGATTTACACTGTAAACATAAGGTCTGTTTTTAGAAATGATTTACTCTGTAAACATAAGGTCTGTTTTTAGAAATGATTTACTCTGTAAACATAAGGTCTGTTTTGAGAAATGATTTACACTGTAAACAAAAGGTCTGTTTTGAGAACTGATTTACTCTGTAAACATAAGGTCTGTTTTTAGAACTGATTTACACTGTAAACATAAGGTCTGTTTTTAGAAATGATTTACTCTGTAAACATAAGGTCTGTTTTGGGAAAGGATTAACACTGTAAACATAAGGTCTGTTTTGGGAACTGATTTACACTGTAAACATCAGGTCTGTTTTAGGAACTGATTTGTACTGTAAACAAAAGGTCTGTTTTGGGAACAAATTTACACTGTAAACATAAGGTCTGTTTTGAGAAATGATTTAAACTGTAAACAAAAGGTCTGTTTTGGGAAATGATTTAAACTGTAAACATAAGGTCTGTTTTGAGAAATGATTTAAACTGTAAACAAAAGGTCTGTTTTGGGAAATGATTTAAACTGTAAACAAAAGGTCTGTTTTGAGAACTGATTTACACTGTAAACATAAGGTCTGTTTTGGGAAATGATTTAAACTGTAAACAAAAGGTCTGTTTTAGGAACTGATTTACACTGTAAACATAAGGTCTGTTTTAGAAACTGATTTACTCTGTAAACATAAGGTGTGTATTGGGAAATGATTTACACTGTTAACATAAGGTCTGTTTTAGGAACTGATTTACTCTGTAAACATAAGGTCTGTTTTGGGAAATGATTTATACTGTAAACATAAGGTCTGTTTTGAGAACTGATTTACTCTGTAAACATAAGGTCTGTTTTTAGAAATGATTTACACTGTAAACATAAGGTCTATTTTGGGAACTGATTCACACTGTAAACATAAGGTCTGTTTTGGGAAATGATTTACACTGTAAACAAAAGGTCTGTTTTTAGAAATGATTTAAACTGTAAACAAAAGGTCTGTTTTTAGAAATGATTTACACTGTAAACATCAGGTCTGTTTTGGGAACTGATTTACACTGTACACATAAGGTCTGTTTTGGGAAATGATTTACACTGTAAACATAAGGTCTGTTTTTAGAAATGATTTAAACTGTAAACAAAAGGTCTGTTTTTAGAAATGATTTACACTGTAAACATCAGGTCTGTTTTGGGAACTGATTCACACTGTACACATAAGGTCTGTTTTGGGAACTGATTTACACTGTAAACATAAGGTCTGTTTTGGGAACTAACAAGAACCATGTTGTGTGAATCAATGCATAAATAACAGATAACAGTTATAATTAGTACAGATAAATGTTGAGTAAGACTGTCAGTACATGATTAAGAGACTGACAGTTAATGATTGTCCAAGATAAATATCGTTTGTCTTAGTTTCAGTTGTAAACAGTTATCTTGGGACATTGTCCAAGATAAATATCGTTTGTATTAGTTTCAGTTGTGAACAGTTATCCTGGGACAGGAATGTGCAACTTAGACTGTAAGGACTGACAGTAATTTTTGCTTGTTTTTCAGTTTTTTATACGGCTGTCTAAGACTGGAGGTATTATGATATACCGTTGTCAGAACGTCTGTCCATTGTCTGTCTGTCATCAGCTCTTCTGACAATAAATCAAAAATGCTTTTACCAATTTTCATGAAACGTTGATGAATTGTTTATATCTATAGACTTAAGCTCTCTTTCGATTTTTATATATTTTAGATTTTACTTTTCTGAGTTATGGGATTTTATTCTTAAAAAAATTGGGGATTTTCCAGTTTTCTGACTATAACTCCAAAATGCATGAAACTTTGATAAATTGTTTATATATAATGACATAATTGTCTTTTGATTTTTAATCATTTCTGATCTGATGTATTTGAGTATTGGGACTTTTTTCATAAAAAATGGGGGATTTTCCAGTTTTGGACAATAACTCAAAAATGCTTTGAGCAGTTTTGATGAAACTTTGTTCACTGTTTATTTCTATTGAAATAAGCTCCCATTTGTTTTTTGTTTTTTAATTTCTAATAAGACATTGCTGAGTTACGGACTTTTATTTGTTGAAAAATTGTTGAAAATAACAATATTTCTAGTTGATCATATAAATTCATTTAAAGCATAAAGATGAGTTTAACGGGCAACAGGCGTATCATGCGCTCAAGGCGCAGCTCTTTATTTAAATTTACCATTTATTTCACAATACCAGTGCATATTTGATGCCTTGATTTATTGTTTCTCAGTGAGAGGGCAGACTCTACTGGTGCAACAGGGGACAGACTTAAGGAAGGATCTGCCATTAACAAGTCACTAAGCACCCTTGGAAATGTCATCAAAGCTTTGGCGGACCTATCAACTGGTAACAAAAAAGTTGTTGGTAAGTACCTAGTGCTTAAGTATTATCCAATGTTCCTTGGTAGACTGTTCAATGATGTGAATAATTAGTCAGTTCAGGGCATACAATACAATTTTAATCTTTAGCTTATTTTATTAAAATTTGCATACTAGCTACTTCTAGAAAAAAACACTTTTTTTGCTGTTAGGATATTTTTTTTTTTTTTTTAAATTCATCTGTGATTTCTCATGAAAATTGGTACAAATAATCTTCCTACATAATTAAGCTGGATGTGATTTTAAGAGAGAGGGGTCCATGAACTAATTTTTAAGCAAATGATTAAAATAATTCGAAAAATACTTTTTTCACATTTTGACAATGCAAAAATAAAATATTACGATAGTGACGTCATTATCTCCCTATAACTATATTGTATGTCCTAAAGCATAAATCACCAATGTTCTCATAAGAAAGACAGCTCACTAATTCTAAGGGTCTTTATATCGGACAGTTAGAAATCTTGACGCATGATGAAGTTAATACTACTTATACTTCCAAAATGTTCTGAAAATCAAAAGGAAAAGTTCTGTAAAGTTCTAGCTAATTCTTGAATATAAAATTCATATTACTAACATATCAACATTTTAAAATTCATGTAGAAAAATATTAAGGATATGTACATTTTCTTTTGTAAGCATATAATTAGAACTTTTTTTTTCTATTTGTGCTTCATGCTAATCTGATGAGTCATCCAACTAATTTTGAGTTTGTTCTTATGTTTTGCTGTTACACCACTGTTCCAATTAGGGGAGGGTTAAACTCTCACTGTTGTCTGTCATATTGGATTAAGGTTTTATTGTTTTGAACATAATTCATAATGTTGGTTTTTGTCTCGACTGTGACTACTGTCGCAGAAAGCAAGACATGGGGAGAGTGATCTGCGGCTGCGTTAAGTAATTACTTAAAAGCTTAATATTTCACAACCTAGAAGACCTGGATGATTCATACTTTGTATATATATGCCTTATGTTATGAAGTTTCCGTATGTCATAGGTCCATTGTCCGTGACCTCATTTTCATGGTTCAGTGACTACTTGTAAGAAAAGTTAATATTTTTTGTAATGTTAATTTCTCTCTAAATATGAGTAATTGGATAACTACATTTGGTATGTGTGTACCTTGCAAGATCATCATGCCTGTCAGACAGCTTTCACTTGACCTCTAATTCATTTCATGGATCAGCGAGAAAGGTTAAGTTTTTGTGGTCAAGTCCATATCTCAGATACTATATATAAGCATTAGGTCAACTATATTTGTTGTATGGAATGATTGTAAGGTGTAAATGTCCGACTGGCAGGTTTCATCTGACTTTGACCTCAATTTCAAGGTACATTCGACAATGTTAAGTTTTTTGTCAGTTGGTCTATTTCTCAGATACTATAAGGAATAGGGCCACTATATTTGGTGTATAGAATGATTGTAAGGTGTACATGTCTGTCTGGCTGGTTTCACCGGACCTTGACCTCATTTTCATGATTCATGAGGCAATTTTCAGCTTTTGTTACTTGATCTATTTCTCAGATATTATAAACAATATGTCAATTATATTTGGTGTATGAAAAGATTGTAAGGTGCACATGTCTGTCTGACAGGGTTCATATGATCTTGACCTCATTTTCATGGTTCATTGGTCAATGATAAGTTTTCCTAATTTTGTCAGTTTATCAAATACAATAACCAAAAGTTAACTATATTTGGATGATTGTAAGGTGTACATATTTGTCTGGCAGGGTTTATATGACCTTGACCTCATTTTCATGATTCATTGGTCAATGTTAAGATGTTTGTGGTTTGATCAGTTTCTCATGTACTATTTGGGATAGGACCACTATATTTGGTGTATGGAATGATTGTAAGGTGTACATGTCTATCTGTTATGGTTCATATGGCTGTGACCTCATTTTCATAGAACATTGATAATGTTAAGTTTATGTGATACTTTAAGCAAAACCTTCATAATACATAATTCATGGGCACTCTTGTCGTTTTAAATTGTATTACATTTTGTCATATCTGGCCCTTTTCACTATATCTTTTGGGATTCTCTGGTTTTGTTGTCATGATACACACCTGGAGGCAGAATTTTATTGGCTCATATTATAATTACCAGAACAGAAAGTAAAACCAAGTGTTATCAGATCTTTGTACATGTTGTAAGCAAAGTATGGACACATCAAGTTTGTATACAGCTAACTCTATTTTACATGATGACGGTAGATGTGAACTGTTAGTGGGTGCTTTTTAATGAGAAAATATACAATTACTGTCTTAAAAGGCTGCAGTATTAAAGCTTTTATACATGTACTTTCTGTTCAGTAGATAATTAATTTTGATATTTTAAAAGATTTTTATATTACTGCTTAGTTAAATTATATGGCAATTGTAGAGGATGGTAATCTTAATCTACATTTAGATGTGAATGGCTTTTGCATAACTACTTCTGCTTTTTTACAGTGCCTTATAGAGATTCAACGCTTACTAAACTTCTACAGAATGCACTTGGGGGTAACAGTAAAACTATAATGGTAAGTTCCGGAAACCAGTTTGTATTACATTGCTACAATATGGTCTTATTGGTAGTAGTTGAAGTATGGTTGTCAAAAGTATTTTTAGGCAGTTAAGCTGCCTTATGCTACCACCCTCTATTTGTGTTCTTCCCACTAAATGGTGTAAAAAGTGCTATTGTTATTATCTAGCTGGATAATATGTTATTAATAACTAATTGGGCACTTTTTTCATACTTTCAATTCTGGAATACAAAAAATATGACCAGAAAAACCTTAAATGATCGTCGAACTACCCAAAACTTTTGAAGTTGCACATAGGAAGTAGTGCTCAATAGAAATCCGTACGTAGTTTATCATCCCATGTGCTTTTGGCTAAGATGTCAAAGAACAATTGTATGAAATATTTCATCGCCGAAAATCTCTAATTACAAGTTGTTTACATTTCCCAAATGGCCAAAAGCGCAGGAATATTGTTCATGTACACCAAATCTCTATGATAGAGGAAATAAAGTTATATGTATTAGTCTACGTTGGCAGTAATTTTAACTTACACGAAACGTAAGGCAAGTATTCTGATGTTTTAAAGTAAGTTTTGTTAATAATGATGTTCTTTTCGTTTAAGAAGATTGTGATTATTTTATTCATTTCAATTAAATGGATGCACATTTAAATTCCTTTCTTTTATTACATGTATATTATCCCGTTTATCACTGACCTTGGCAGGCGTTGTTGTTTTTATGAATGTTGTTTTTTGAACGAAAAAGATCCGACAATCGACGTTGATGGGATGTTTTAAGAAATGTGGAAAACTCGTCCCCGACACAAGTCGGACCGTCTTAGAAGACAACTAGGACTGCTTGTCAGATTTACTTAGGGTTTCATAAAATGTTAGACTAACATGTCTAGTGAAGTTATCAATCTTTCGTTTATGCATTGGGGTCTATTTAGGGGTATTTTAAGGGGCTTAAATAAGGGAGGGGTTTACCAAAGAACCCTATAATGGGATTTTATTTTTTATCAATTTTCAAATGACTATTACTTGAAAATAGTAAGTGATAGATACACACGATCTTCAGTAATGATAACAGGACAATAGAACAAATCAAATAAAATATAGGATGAGTCCCTGGGGGTCCTCCCACCCCCTTCAATTTGAAAATGTGTTTTTATCTTGTAAACAGTCGCGATCCTCACCCCTAAACCATATACTAGTATATACTTGTATGGGACAATAAAACAAATCAAATGAAAATGATTTGGGGGAGTCCCAAGTGTCACTCCTACCCCTTCTGTTTGAGAACTTGTATATGTTCGAGATCATCATCCCTAAACCATATATATTCATGTATGGGACAATATAACAAATCAAATGAAATATAGGGGGAGTTCCTGGGGGTCAACCCCACCCCTTCTGTTAAGAAATTGTTAATGGTTGAGATCCCCACCCCTAAACCATACATAGTCTTGTATGGTACAATAAAACAAATAAAATGAAATACAGGGGGAATCCACCCCACCCCCTCATGTTTGAGAACTTGTTTACGGTCGAAAATCCCACCCCTAAACCAAACATATTCTTGTATGGAACAATAAAACAAATCAAATTAAATATAGGGGAGACCCTGGGGGTCACGCCATCCCCTCCTGTTTGAGAACTTGTAAACGGTTGAGATCCCCACCCCTACACCATATATATTCATGTATGGGACAATAAAACAAATAAAATAGAATATAGGGGATTAGTCCATGGGGGTCACCCCACCCCTCTTTTTGAAAATTTGCAAACGGTCGAGATCCCCATCCGGAAACCATATATATTCTTGTATGGGACATTAAAACAAATCAAATGAAATAAAGGGAGAGTCCCCTGGGGATCAACCCCCACCTTTTGAGAACTTGAAAAAGGTTGAGATCCCCACCCCTAAACCATATATACAATATTCCTGTTCGTCAACTTAAGAATGTTTGAATGACATACAGGGTCAATCTCCTAGGTGTCACATATGCATATCACTTGACTTGACCAAACCAATTTGTATTGGACTCGGCCCAATTAGGCGACGAATTATAGGAGCTTTGTTTTGGAGACTTCGTAACAGTATCCTGTTACAATTATTTTTTGTTTATTATAGAATTTAATTGATGCAAGAAATAAGTCTAGGTTGAATTTACTTTAATTATTTTTTGAGTTATGTCGGGGCCTATAAAAATTTTCATTTAAGGCTCATCTTAAAGGAAACATATTTAAGATAAATTAGAAATAACTTTTGAAAATGGTAGGATTGGATAGCGGAAACATTAAGGTACAAACATTTTTTTAACTTGAAATAGCTGAGATAAAAAATTAAACCAATTCTTCTACAATATTAATCTTAACTTAAGCTTCTGCCACATTTGCCTTGGGGTTTTTTAATTAACTGCCTATAGCGCCCTTGGTGCTTTGATTCTATATTGTAAATTCATAAAATTTTGCATGCATTCATTTTTGCTTTTGTTTTGAACAATAGACCCAAATGTGAGATAATGTATTGCAATTTCAGGAAAAGCTGCATACAATAATGCTATCAAATTTTTAAAATGTGAATTTTTATTATTGCGAAACCTATCGTGTGACAATTTTTACAATAATGAAAAGATTTAAAATTTCATTTCAAATTTACAATTAGTTTTTTAAAATTCTGAATTTGATTCTTGAATTATACTTGAACTGTATTAACCTATCTTCTAAAGGTAGGGAAGGATTGAGTTAAGTTTAAAAAAGTTTTTCTCTGCAACCTGTTCCTGTGTCTTTGTAACTTGCTGTCTTTAGTCGTGTATTAACCTATCTTCTAAAGGTAGGGGAGGGTTGAATTAAGTTTAAAAGTTTTACTCTGCAACCTGTTCCTGTGTCTTAGTAACTTGCTGTCTTTAGTCGTGTATTTTAGGAAATTCAGTGTTGATGGCAGATAATTGGTAGTTGTATCTATTCCGAACATTTCAAGACAGTGGACTTGAGATATTGACATACTTTATGGCTACTTGCATTTTGTTAAAGACAGGGTTGAATCAAATCCTCTTTCTTATTTTTCAGTGTTTTTTGATTGGGTCAAATTTAATCCACTTTTCAATCTTTCAGTGTTTCTTTGATTGGGTTAAATCAAATTCACCTTTTTCTGACACAGTCAGTATTAATTTCGGTTTGTGACCCATTTAAAAAGGACGCTTCACTATGGTAACGGCATGCATGATGTCAAAAATCTTCAGTTTGATTGGATGAAATAACAGAACAAAAACCAACAAAAAAAGATATATGCTACAATAAAAGAAAAACATTACGGACATAAAATCAAACTTAAAAATGAAATTATCCAGATAAATAAAAATAAATTCAGGTAAAGAAGGTGTCAAATTCTTTGGATTTTGTAGGATTAGACATTAATACATGTGTAGGTAATTTTAATATCACTGAAAGGTTCATAAGATCTACCAGGTCAAGCCATGATTAGGCTATTAATAGCTTGAGGGCTATAAATATATCTTACTGACTAAAACTTCCAAGGCGTAATAATACATGTAATAATCTCAATGAGGACAAAAAATTATAATTGAAATAAAGATTGTCAAAAAACAATTTATCACGAATTTAATTACTTGTCAAAAGCTGTATTATACAGATCATCTTCCTTTGGTGTCACTCCGTCCCCGGTATACACACCGAAATAGGTTGTATCTCTAATTAAGTCTCCCAAACGAAGTTTGGGAAGATTTATTGTTTTTGCTCAGTTCTTATTATTATTATTATTCTTCTTCTTCTTCCTCTTCCTCTTCCTCTTCCTCTTCCGCCGCTTTTAAATTTGAACTTGTCCGCACCTGCTCTCCAAAACCACTTGTCAGATTAACTTAGGGTTTCACAATATGTTAGACTAACATGTCTAGTGGTGCAATCAGGGTTTTGTTTGTGCAATGGGGTTTATAAAGGGGTACTTTGAGGGGCAAAAAGAAAAGAGGGTTTTACTATAGAACCCTATGGGATTTTATTTTTTATAATTTTCAAATGATTATAAATTGAAAACCGTTTGTGATAGACACAATCTTTTCAATTGAAAATGTTCTGAATGATAAAACCCATTAAATGAAGTACAGGGTTGGTCCCCAGGGGTCATCCAGACCCCCTGCAATTTGAGAGAGTTCTAATATCTTGTAAATGGTCGAGATCCCCACCCCTAAACCATATATATTCTGGTTTGTCATGATAAAGCAAATCAAATGAAATACAGGGTTAGTCCCAAGGGGTGACCCCCACCCTATGCCATTTAAGAAAGTTCTAATATCTTGTAAGTGGTCAAGATCCCCACCCCTAAACCATATATATTCTGGTTTGTCATGCTAAGATGGTTTGAATGATATACAGGGTTAGTCTCCAGGGGTCATCCCAACCCCCTGCCATTTGAGAAAGTTCTAATATCTTGTAAATGGTCAAGATCCCCACCCCTAAACCATATATACTCTGGTTTGTCATGCTAAGATGGTTTGAATGATATACAGGGTTAGTCCCCATGGGTCATCCCGACCCCCTGCCATTTGAGAAAGTTCTAATATCTTGTAAATGGTAGAGATCCCCACCCCTAAACCATATTTATTCTGGTTTGTCATGATAAAGCACATGAAATGAAATACAGGGTTAGTCCCCAGGGGTCACCCCCACCCCATGCCATTTAAGAAAGTTCTAATATCTTGTAAGTGGTCAAGATCCCCACCCCTAAACCATATATATTCTGGTTTGTCATGCTAAGATGGTTTGAATGATATACAGGGTTAGTCTCCAGGGGTCATCCCAACCCCCTGCCATTTGAGAAAGTTCTAATATCTTGTAAATGGTCGAGATCCCCACCCCTAAACCATATATACTCTGGTTTGTCATGCCAAGATGATTTGAATGATATACAGGGTTAGTCCCCAGGCATCACTAATGCATATAACTTTATTGGACCAAACCAATTTTCACTGGACTTTGCCCAATGTCAGGTGACCCTGGGAATTACGAATTATGGGAGCTTCGTTTGGGAGACTTCGTAACAGCATCCTGTTACAATCATTTCTTGTTGTTATAGTTGTTCTTGACATATAGTTATAATTGACATTTCTTCACGGATCTAAACTGTTTCAAGTTTGTTATTTATTACAGATTGTAAACTTCTAATATCTTATGTTTTTGTCTATTTCACAGCTGTAGCTTTTGGAATCTTAGAATTAACTATGATAAAAAAAAAACTGATAAACATTAAACTCTATGCTCACATCTGAATGCATCAGATATCTTTTTTTAAAGATAGTACTTGTCATCTTTCAGTATTCCTCTGATTGGGTCAAATCAATTTTGCCTTTCCAACTTTCAATGTTGCAATTTAATATTTTTTTATCTGCTTATGCATACAATTACACAATACAATTATAAAATATATATACATAAGCCAGTCTGTACAGATTTATGAGAGACGATAAATACTAATATGACATGTATATACGTATACATTAATGAATATTAAACATGATCATTGATTGGGTCAAATCAAATCCACTTTATCATCTTACAGTGTTCCTATGATTGGGTCAAATCAAATCCACTTTACCATCTTACAGTGTTCCTATGATTGGGTCAAATCAAATCCACTTTACCATCTTTCAGTGATCCTGTGATTGGGTCAAATCAAATCCAAGTTACCATCTTTCAGTGATCCTGTGATTGGGTCAAATCAAATCCTCTTTACCATCTTTCAATGTTCCTCTTATTGGGTCAAATCAAATCCACTTTACCATCTTTCAGTTTCCTTTAATTGGGTCAAATTAAATCCACTTTATCATTTTTCAGTGTTCCTCTTATTGGGTCAAATCAAATCCACTTTACCATCTTTCAATGTTCCTCTTATTGGGTCAAATCAAATCCACTTTATCATCTTTCAGTTATCTTTAATTGGGTCAAATTAAATCCACTTTATCATTGTTCAGTGTTCCTCTTATTGGGTCAAATTAAATCCACTTTATCATTTTTCAGTGTTCCTCTTATTGGGTCAAATCAAATCCACTTTACCATCTTTCAGTGTTCCTCTTATTGGGTCAAATAAAATCCACTTTATCATCTTATAGTGTTCCTATGATAGGGTCAAATCAAATCCACTTTACCATCTTTCAGTGTTCATATGATTGGGTTAAATCATTCCACTTTCCTATTTTTCAGTGTTCTTCAGGGATTTCCTTTACTATCGATCTTATTTGAACCCTTGATTTTGAATTTAGGATATAAGCATACTCTGCTTAATTGCATAGTTTTGTCTTACAAATCGGCTATGCAAATAAACAGAATGAACTGTACTAAAATAGGTATGCTACCTGTATTTCGATAAGAAACTAAAGGAAAATACAATACTAAAATAAGTATGTTACCTGCAGCAATTCAATAAGAAACTTACATCTTTATTTCAGATGCTTAAATGTAATAAAAGTTTGTTTTATTGAAATTTCATTACTTTCTGAACATACTTCAGCATATAATCACTTAACATTATCATATAAACAGCAATAAAAATTGTTGATTGTTATCTGAATATTTAGTTAAACATAAGAAACGATTTCATCATGTACTAGGTACGTACAATTTTATAGTCAGTCTTCAATTGGTTTTAAAATCAGATTATTGATTATACTATTATAGCATGGAACCATTTCCACCACTTTGGGTAAAATACTCCAATTTTTTACATGAAATGTTATTTTTTATGACCTATTCTATTGGTCAAATACTCAATACAACATAACCGACACAGATCAGTCAATATATGTCAAAACACATCAAGCATTGTCAATGATGTTACAATGTGTCAATCAAAAGGAAAGGATACCTTTATTATGTCACAATGTGTCAAAACACATCCAGCATTGTCAATGATGTTACAGTGTGTTAATCAAATGAGAGACCACCTTTATTATGTCACAATGTGTCAAAACACATCCAGCATTGTCAATGATGTTACAGTGTGTTAATCAAATAAGAGAACACCTTTATAATGTCACAATGTGTCAAAACACATCCAGCATTGTCAATGATGTTACAGTGTGTTAATCAAATGAGAGACCACCTTTATTATGTCACAATGTGTCAAAACACATCCAGCATTGTCAATGATGTTACAGTGTGTTAATCAAATGAGAGACCACCTTTATTATGTCACAATGTGTCAAAACACATCCAACATTGTCAATGATGTTACAGTGTGTTAATCAAATAAGAGAACACCTTTTTAATGTCACAATGTGTCAAAACACATTCAGCATTGTCAATGATGTTACAGTGTGTTAATCAAATAAGAGAACACCTTTATAATGTCACAATGTGTCAAAACACATCCAGAATTGTCAATGATGTTACAGTGTGTTAATCAAATAAGAGACCACCTATATAATGTCACTATGTGTAAAAACACATCCAGAATTGTCAATGATGTTACAGTGTGTTAATCAAATGAGAGACCACCTTTATAATGTCACAATGTGTCAAAACACATTCAGCATTGTCAATGATGTTACAGTGTGTTAATCAAATGAGTGACCACCTTTATAATGTCACAATGTGTCAAAACACATCCATTCTTGTCAATGATGATACAGTGTGTTAATCAAATGCGAGACCACCTTTATAATGTCACAATGTGTCAAAACACATCCAGCATTGTCAATGATGTTACAGTAGGTCAAACAATGAATGTCACAATGAGTGTTACCACATCCAGCATTGTCATGATGTAACATTGTGTTTTAACATGCAATAATCTTGTTGTAAAACCATATTACAGACTTTCAACATAGATTCAATCATGTTAAGTAAAGCAGGAGAGACATTTAAGCTTGTGTACTCTTGTTTAAATATTATAAAAGACAAAATCACCAATTATAGAGCTGCGTGTATATTCAGATGGATAATTTGTTTCACCTCAAGTGACCTCTTCTAGATGTTTACATAGAGTGAAATAATAAAAATAATAATATCTAGGGCTTCATGTAGCTTGTTGTACAGTAAGGGTTTGCTCACTGTTTAAGGTTGTTTGGTGTACAGTAAGGGTTTGCTCATTGTTTAAGGTTGTTTGGTGTACAGTAAGGGTTTGCTCATTGTTTAAGGTTGTTTGGTGTACAGTAAGGATTTGCTCACTGTTTAGGGTTGTTTGGTGTACAGTAAGGGTTTGCTCATTGTTTAAGGTTGTTTTGTGTACAATAAGGGATTTCTGATTGTTTAAGGTTGCTTGATGTACAGTTAGGGTTTGCTGATTGTTTAAGGTTGTTTGGTGTACAGTAGGGGGTTGCTGATTGTTTAAGGTTGTTTGGTGAACAGTAAGGATTTGCTGATTGTTTAAGGTTGCTTGGTTTACAGTAAGGGTTTGCTGATTGTTTAAGGTTGTTTGGTGACTTATTGTTCTTTTACAATATTTCTACTGCAATCACCATGACATTTGCATCAAACTTTTATGAAAATATGAATAATATTAATTTTTCATCATTAAACAATAAATAATAATTAGTTTAGTTGATGACATCATGTAAGCATATCAAAACTGAAAAGTAGAAGACAGATTGTGAGTATGAGTAAGTAGAAGACAGATTGTGAGTATGAGTAAGTAGAAGACAGATTGTGAGTAGGAGTTTGTAGAAGACAGATTGCGAGTAGGGAGTTTGTAGAAGACAGATTGTGAGTAGGAGTAAGTAGAAGACAGATTGTGAGAAGTTAGTAGAAGACAGATTGTGAGTAGGAGTAAGTAGAAGACAAATTGTGAGTATGAGTTAGTAGAAGACAGATTGTGAGTAGGAGTAAGTAGAAGACAGATTGTGAGTATGAGTTAGTAGAAGACAGATTGTGAGTAGGGAGTTTGTAGAAGACAGATTGTGAGTAGGAGTAAGTAGAAGACAGATTGTGAGTAGGAGTAAGTAGAAGACAGATTGTGAGTATGAGTAAGCAGAAGGCAGATTGTGAGTAGGAGTAAGTAGAAGACAGATTGTGAGTAGGAGTAAGTAGAAGACAGATTGTGAGTAGAAGTTAGTAGAAGACAGATTGAGAGTAGGAGTAAATAGAAGACAGATTGTGAGTATGAGTTTGTAGAAGACAGATTGTGAGTATGAGTTTGTAGAAGACAGATTGTGAGTATGAGTTTGTAGAAGACAGATAGTGAGTATGAGTAAGCAGAAGGCAGATAGTGAGTATGAGTTTGTAGAAGACAGATTGTGAGTAGGAGTTTGTAGAAGACAGATAGTGAGTATGAGTAAGCAGAAGGCAGATAGTGAGTATGAGTTTGTAGAAGACAGATTGTGAGTAGGAGTTTGTAGAAGACAGATTGTGAGTAGGAGTTTGTAGAAGACAGATTGTGAGTAGGAGTTTGTAGAAGACAGATAGTGAGTATGAGTAAGCAGAAGGCAGATAGTGAGTATGATCCCATCCTTTCTATGGTTTTGAAATCATACTAGTTTGAATTAATCTCTGCATTCACATTTAAAGTAAGATCAGTTCACTTAAGATAGATTCAAGCTAAACTACCTCTTTTAACCGATTCAAAGCGTTCACATCCATCTAAAGTGAACCCATCTAGTTTAAATCTATCTAAATGTGTACAGGGTCTTAATCTTGCTATATTAATCAGGAAGAAATTTGCTTTATTTTGTAGATAGCAGCGTTGAGTCCTGCTGATATTAATTATGAAGAAACACTTTCTACACTGAGATTTGGTAGGTTGTTGGTTAAGTTATCTAAAGTTTTAGTAATTGAAATTTTACAACAAAAAGTAAACTTAATAGCACTTTTTTATGATTTATTTCATATTAAGAGAAAAAAAATTCTGCTAACATATATAGAATGTCATTCTTATCTCTTATACTCTAAATGCTTCATTTCATTTTCGCTTCTGTTTTATTTTGTAAGTAAAATTTGTAGTTTATATGTATTTTTTATTTTTTATATGCCCATCTTGAAAGACGAGACGCATTATGGTATACCGTTGTCCATCCGTATGTCTGTCCGTCGTCAAAACTTCAGACAATATCTGAAAGGGCTACCACCAATTTTCATGAAACTTTGGTGATTTGTTCACATCTGAGTAAGGTCCCTTTTGATTTTTATAAATTTTAGATTTTACATTTCCGATTATGGGATTTGATTCATAAAAAAAAGGGGGATTTTCCAGTGAGTTTTTATACGACTGCAAAATTTTTTGCGTTTGTATTATGTTATGGCGATGTCTGCGTCAGCATCAGAAGACATTTAGGTTCACAGACAATAACTTCAGTATAAGTGTATGGATCTCTATGAAATTTTAGAACAAAAGGAAGGTTGGGATTGATTTTGGGGGTATTGTCACAGCCGTTTTGTAATTAGGCGTAAAAAAGGGTCCAAGAACAAACATTTTCACTGGTTCATAGACAATAAATTGGTTCGCAGACAATAACTTAAGTATTAGTGTATGGACCTGTATGAAATTTTAGTACAAGGTTCTATACCACAATAGAAAGAATGGGATTGATTTTGGGGGTTATTGTCATAGCTGTTTTGTATTTAGTGGCCAAAAAGGGGCCAACAAAAACAATTATTTTTCTAGTTCACAGACAATAACGAGTATAAGTGTATGGATCTCTACCAAATTTTACCACAAGGTTCTATACTTTAAAAGGAAGGTTGGGACTGATTTTGGGGGTCATTGCCCAAACCATTTAGGAATTAGGGGCCTAATGAAGAAGGTTTGTTCTGTATAAATTAATTTTCCAAATTTTTCATTTCTTTGACCACATTCGTTGTGTGACAGAAACCTATGATGTGTCAAATATTCAATCACAATCCAAATTCAGAGCTGTTTCAAGCTTGAATGTAGTGTCCATACTTGCCCCAACTGTCCGTGTCCTACAAATATATAAACATGAGTTCCCTTTCTGATTTTATGTTTTGGAGTATTGGGACTTTATTTATAAAAAAGGGGGGATTTTCCAGTTTTCAGACAATAACTCACAAATGCTTTGAGCAGTTTTCATGTGACTTGTTTATATCTATCAAAGCTCCCATATTTTTTTTTTTTTTTTTTATAAATTTCTGAATAACATTGCAATGTTATGAAACTTTATTTGTTGAAAAATCATCATTTTGTGTCAATGATTACCACTGTGTGTGCATGTCTTCTTCATTTTTTTTTTGGGGGGGGAAGGGGGTCTGAGGAATGCTCAAAGTTTTTCTAGTTGTGCAAATAAATTCAATTAAAGCATAAAGACCAGTTAAAAGGGTGACAGGCATATCATGCACTCATGGCATAGCTCTTTATTGTCATAATGCTTTAAAACAACAAAAATAAACAAAACAAATGAACAATAAATTCATTGTTTTAGCTGACAGAGCCAAGGCTATAAAGACTGTTGCAACAGTAAATGAAAGTCCTACAGATAAATTGATTCGTGAATTACGAGAGGAGAATGCCAAACTGATGGACATGATCAAATCTGGCGGGATATCCTTGCCAATAGGTGGCGGTGGTGGTGGTGGAGGTTACACTACTGATGGTAAGTCACATATACCTCTGGATATTGTCAACACTCACCAATCTAAAAATTAATGTGAAAATAAATCATTTATATTCAAAAATATGTTCACTTATTCACAGTTCTTCATTGGTCAAAAATTCAATTAAGTTTCTACTTGTCCACTAATTTTGCTATTATGAATCTATTTAAAGAAAATAACCATATTTGCAGACATTTTACAGAAATAGGCAATTTTTGTGTAGGTTATTGAACATCAAAGTTTGCTTATTAGTTGTTTTATCTGGTATATTGACAGATAGTTGAAATTAAAAATTTTACAATGCTAGGCAAGCTTAATTTTTTTTCTTAAAAAAAGTTTTTGTCAGAACTGGAGAAATATTACATTGCAGTTGATGCTGAGTGTTAGAATCTCTATAGATCTTCCATTTAAAGGGGCATTAGCTATGAATTTGTCAAAATAATAAGATATTGAATTTTTTTGTTATAAACATTTATAAAAGCAGAATAAAGGAATAATATTTGGCTTTTAAAATTCAGTTTGGTTCAATTTCGTCAAAATAGCTGAAAAACATCACTGGTGTATTATTGAATTGCAAATCAATAATTCAACTCATTTGAATCTGTATTCTTTATAGCCTTTAGTGGAAATGGGTTGCGCATGTATTCTGCATGTGCATTATTTATTAAAAGGAAAAGAATGTCAACATTGCTCACAAAAATCATTCTTATACAATTAAAACTATTATTTACACAAATTTTAAGCCTATAACATGAAATCAATCAGACCTAGAAAAATCAAATTGCACATTGTCACTATTTATATTTATGTTTGCATTGGGTTAAATGATGGTCTGCAGTCTTCGGAGTTCATCTCCATGGATGATTAAATGGCATCTAGTCTATAAGATGCAGGAAATACTGATGCATTATAGTGAGCCCATCGTTTATTGTTTTGTTTTTTTTACTTTTTGTAATTTGTATATACGTTTTAGTATGTTATAAATAAAATATTAGAATTTGAGTCAAATCTGTGACCCTGAATTTGACAGCTAATGCCCCTTTATGGTCGTAGTAAATGTATTCCTGGATTATCAACTTTGATAAATATAAGAACTGATTTGTACATGTTTATTTTTCTGGTTCTAGTCAAGATTAATGTTGAGAAAGTATTTATCCCCCCCCCCCCCCTTCTATGCAAATAGGGTATTAAGGTTTACCCTTGTATGCTGTATGTCTGTCGATCTATACATCCCATAATTTGTTTCCATTCACTAACTTAAGATTACCACAACCAAATGTTTTGAAACTTACACACAAAGCTTATTACCATCAAACACAGATCAAGTTTGAATTTGTGTGGTGTCAGTTTCACTGTTCTCAAGTTAATGTTCATTTTTAAATGGAAAAAATGGCAAATATGCTGTTATTGCACTCTTACTTTACTTTGCCACAATCTAATGTTATGAAACTTATACATAAGCTTTTTACCACCAAACACAGGTAAACTTCAAGTTTGGGTGGCTTCGTTTTCAGGAATTTTGTGTTATGCCACTTTATTAGTTTCAAAGAAAACAAAATATCAATAGGTTTAAATTAGTACATCGCCTCTTGTATATTTACAAGCAGGGACATCTGTGTCCAATGGACACATTCTTCTTTTATTTTTCTTTTAAATGACTTCATGGAAACATAACTAAACATATAAAGGATGAACTTACCGATCAATTAATGGCAGTCCTGCCTGTGCGGAAGGCGAGACATAGGTGTTGCTTTTCCTGCTGCGTCGTCGTCAGTGTCAACAATTGTTAAGTTAGTTTGATAGAAACTACTTGTGATAGATCAATGATAATTTGTATAAAGTTGCATTAGTATCAGTACATATCAGTCTGACAACTATTTGAGGCCCTGCCCCCTAGGTCATAGTCCAGTGACTTTGAATTGATTATCCATCTTGCTGTCCATCAGATTGTCTTTTTCTGAATTCACATATCTCTGTGTCAACAGTTTATTATGTATATAATTTTAATGTTACACACTAATTTGTATTCAAGATAATTAATTTAAATAATGTTACATATGTTTTAAATATATTAATTATTCAAATATATCTTGTTAGTAATGATTTAAGCTGTATCAAAGATTTTATGCAATTACAAAGTTACAATATTAATATCATGGATAACTTTGTAATGTGATATGATACTTCATCACAATTAACTCATATTAACCATTATGTTGGATTAAGAAAAAGTTTGAATTAAAGTTTACTAGTAAAGTCTTAAGAATGAGGGGTTTTTCTTAACATATAAAACGATAAAGGCAAAAAATATTAAGTGTTGTTGAAATAAAATATTGTTTTTGATTTTTCATTCTCTTAAAGTATACGATTTTGTTTAATCATAAAGGAATCAATTTTACTATATTTCAGAACAAGGTACTAGTATTTGGCATGATATATATATTGCCTGTGTGGAAAGTATGACATGGGCATGTTTATGTAGAAATTTTCATCTTGATTAAATATACTTTGTAGTTAGATTACTCTTATTAAACATCAAATAGTCAAAACAAAATGGCATTAAATAGAAGAAATTTATTTATTTGGTATTTTCTAAAATGTTACTATTGTTCCTGTTTGAAAACATCTACTGCTTCTAGTATTTTAATAAACCTTTGTTTTGAAACATTATTAATTTTCCTTTACAATAAGTTGATTATCTTCTTGAATATGACCATGAAAATTCTGTGATTTGCACAACTGCATTGCTATAGTATATGACACGAGTAACACTAGGATAACACAGGTGTGAGGGTGAAGAGTTTCTGTAACCTGTACTTTATATGTACTATTCCATCATTAATCTGTATTTATAGAGCATCCCATGATTGTGTCTGTGTATTCTTTCCATTTTCACCTCGTGGGTGCCACTTCCTATAAGGTGATAGGACGTGTTGCTGGAATAGGTCACATTGTCCAACTTAAAATAGGTGAATAGGTGGGGAAATCTATCAGAAATATATGATAAGGTCAGTAAAGTCCCCATTACTTGATATATGTGAAGCTGAAAGTCTCTCCGTAAGTTAACATTACATAAGGAATCTGAGCCTCAGATCTGAGCTCCAAGTAACAGTGATATTTCTGGATTATGCCAGGGCTTGTATTTCCTTTCATGATCTCCTTGATAGAGGGTTGCTGCTCACAAGGAAGCTATTAAATCAAGTGGTGAAGTTGAAATTATCCCTTCGTAAATTATACGGACGCCATCTCAAGTTGGTTGACTGCATGTTATGGAATATCTTTTTCACAGATGACAACGGATATGTTCTAATTGTCGTAACTGTAATCCTGTCCCTTTTTCCCCGAATGTGACCTACCAAATTAGACTTATCACCGGGTTTGTACTAACATGAGCAACAAGATGGGTGCAACATGTGGGGCAGGATCTGCTTACCCTTCCGGAGCACCTGAGATCACCCCCAGTTTTTGTTGGGGTTAGTGTTGCTCAGTCTTTAGTTTTCTATGTTGTGTTTTGTGTACTGTTGTTTTTCTGTTGGTCTTTTACTTTTTTAGCCATGGCATTGTCAGTTTATTTTTGACTTATGAGTTTGAATGTCCCTTTGGTATCTTTCGCCTCTCTTCTATGCCAGAATGTGATTCTCAACCCCCTGCTAGACTCATAGTTTAAATATTATATTTATACCTACGCAATATATAAATGGTATACATTTTTTAAATCTAAATTATCTGAAAAGGGTGGGTTAACAGAACCCCAGTGGCACCCCCTTATCAATTAAGTATTGAAGTGCCCCCCTGCATGGTCTTTTTGGGGTCTTTTAAGGCTCAACCATCCAAAGATCTGCATGGTCTTTTTGGGGTCATTTAAGGCTCAACCATCCAAAGATCTGCATGGTCTTTTTGGGGTCTTTTAAGGCTCAGCCATCCAGAGATCTGCATGGTCTATTTGGGGTCTTTTAAGGCTCAGCCATACAGAGATCTCAATGGTCTTTTTGGGTCTTTTTAGGCTCAGCCATCCAGAGATCGGCATGGTCTTTTTGGTGTCATATAAGGCTCAACCATCCAAAGATCTGCATGGTCTTTTTGGAGTCTTTTAAGGCTCAGCCATCCAGTGATCTACATGGTCTTTTTGGGGTCTAACAAGGCTCAGCCATCCAGAGATCAACATGGTCTTTTGGGGGTCATTTAAGGCTCAACCATCTAAAGATCTGCATGGTCGTTTTGGTGTCATATAAGGCTCAACCATCCAAAGATCTGCATGGTCTTTTTGGAGTCTTTTAAGGCTCAGCCATCCAGTGATCTACATGGTCTTTTTGAGGTCTAACAAGGCTCAGCCATCCAGAGATCAATATGGTCTTTTTGGGGTCATTTAAGGCTCAACCATCTAAAGATCTGCATGGTCTTTTTGGGGTCATATAAGGCTCAGCCATCAAAAGATCTGCATGGTCTTTTTGGGGTCATATAAGGCTCAGCAATCAATGGATCTGCATGGTCATTTTGGGTTCATATAAGGCTCAGCCATCCAGAGATCTACATGCTCTTTTTTTGGGTCTTTAAAGGCTAAGCCATCCAGAGATCTACATGCTCTTTTTTGGGTCTTTTAAGGCTCAGCCATCCAGAGATCTACATGCTCTTTTTGGGGTCATGATAGGCTCAACCATCCAAATATCTGCATGGTCTCTTGGAGGTAATTTAAGGCTCAACCATCCAAAGATGTACATGGTCTTTTTGGGGTCAGTTAAGGCTCAACCATCCAAAGATCTGCATGGTTTTTTGGGGTCTTTTAAGGCTCAGCCATCCAGAAATCTGCATGGTCTTTTTGGGGTCATATAAGGCTCAGCCATCAAGAGATCGACATGGTCTTTTGGGAGTCTTTTAAGGCTAAACCATCCAAAGATCTGCATGGTCTTTTTGGGGTCATTTAAGGCTCAGCCATCGATGGATATACATGGTCTTTTTGGGGTCATATAAGCCTTAGCCATCCATGGATCTACATGGTCTTTTTGGGGTCATATAAGCCTCAGCCATCCATGGATCTACATGGTCTTTTTGGGGTCATATAAGGCTCAGCCATCCATAGATCTACATGGTCTTTTTGGGGTCATATAAGGCTCAGCCATTCATGGATCTACAAGGTCTTCTTGGGGTCATGTAAGGCTCAGCCATCCAGAGGTCTTCAAGATTTTTCCAAGAAGAAAGAGCATAAACAACATGGTAAATAGAATCATAAGCAAAGGATGACTGAATCTAAAGGTCAGGCTGTTCTGTCACCAGTATAATGACTCAACAACACAGTCGTCCTTTTACAAACTCTGTAAAAATAATCTTTGTTTGAAGACGATCACAAATCTCAAAGTTCAACATCTAAAGGTCAAAAGTAGCCATTTTCAGCAGGGTAAATGGTAAGATGTTGGTCAATAGGCTGAAGAAGGAATTTTCAAGGCAGGGATTTTAGCAACTCACTCAGTCAATGGATGTTTCCAAAATGATTTTACCATAATGGTCAGTCTCAACAAAATTTTTAATATTGAATTCCAGGCTAGCCAAATTAAAAGTGGTATAAAGGTCAAATAGGTGAAGTTGTTCATAAAAGGTTACATACTTTTTTGTATCCCACATACCTTACATCATCTTTATTTTTAGACTTAATGTATTGATCAGTCAGTGACCTTACTGATATGGTTTTTAGACTTAATGTATTGATCAGTCAGTGACCCTACTGATATGGTTTTTAGACTTAATATATTGATCAGTCAGTGACCCTACTGATATGATTAATGTATTGATCAGTCAGTGACCCTACTGATATGATTAATGTATTGATCAGTCAGTGACCCTACTGATATGATTAATGTATTGATCAGTCAGTGACCCTACTGATATGATTAATGTATTGATCAGTCAGTGACCCTACTGATATGGTTTTTAGACTTAATGTATTGATCAGTCAGTGACCCTACTGATATGATTTTTAGACTTAATGTATTGATTAGTCAGTGACCCTACTGATATGATTTTTAGACTTAATGTATTGATCAGTCAGTGACCCTACTGATATGATTTTTAGACTTAATGTATTGATCAGTCAGTGACCCTACTGATATGGTTTTTAGACTTAATGTATTGATCAGTCAGTGACCCTACTGATATGGTTTTTAGACTTAATGTATTGATCAGTCAGTGACCCTACTGATATGGAAAAACATTTTTAAAAGATACTTGAAATGAGATTTTGAAAATTTTCTTTCTTCTGTTCATTCAGAGTTATAGATAACCTAATTAAGTCACGTTTTTTATGAATATCTGATAAACAGTTGAATTTAGTTTCAGAAAATGTCTATACTGACATGATCTGTCTGTCCTCTTTTTCTTCCTTGCTAAGGACTGGAAATCCTACTCTTACAAACAGCATATATTCTAAATAATGTTTAACTGAGTCTTTATTTCTTATACTAACATGCATGAAAGTCTTTTATATTTATTACTGAAATAATAGATAGATAAGTATTGTGTTTTATAGATGCTATAAACAGATAGAATATAGTAATTGATTTATTAGAATACAGTAGAATATTGTTATAGTATACTGGTGTTTGTATTAAAGAGATTGGAAGAGTTTTTATCTGAACTGGTTTGGAAATTGCAGTATTATCTATACTAATGAAATAACAAGGTCCAATTTGTTAGCTGGCATGATGTGAAAACGACAAATCAAAGAATTAAACTTTATATATAACTATTATAGGACAATGGTGTAGTTTTAAAATGACACCATTCTAGGCCCTTTTGTTTTCCACATAATTAATATTACCAATAATTAACAAATTCCGGGTCAAATCCGATACTGATACCAATAGTATATGTCACATGTAGTTTCCTGTTACCTTCTGTAAATCACTCCTCTATCAGGAGACCCTGGAAGTCTTCCAGTAGTTGTTTAATATCCATGTTACACTTATAATAGTACACTATTTAACAAGTCTGTTTTCTTCCACCTCAATACCACCATTAATTTGGTTAATTAGTTAAAAAAAGTAAATTTTGTTTATGGTAAGTTTATTGTCGTACAAAATAAAGGACGGGTTCAAACAGAAAGATTTTGAAAGCAGAGAAAACTGTGCTCTTTCCAATAAGCATGATTTTATCAGATGACAATACTAATACTAACAAAACCAGGCTAAAATAAGGCACAGGTACGTTATTTCAGTCACGTAAAAATTATGTCACGGGTGTGTTCTAGTATCACTGAAGACTAGAAGACTGTTATTTCTTTTCTGGTGATGGAAGCTTTGACAAGTTTTAAGAACCTTTTTTGGGGTATTCCCATTTTCACTATTATGTTAACAAAAACATGTAGTGAGTTTGTTCAAAAACTTATTTTCATAGCTCCAGTGGTCAGGTTAAGTTTAATTGTCTATCATATTCCTTTTTCGTAAATTGTTTTGTTATGAATAAGGCCTCTAGTTTTCTCGCTAGAATTGTTTCACTTTTTTCATATCGGGGCCTTTAAATTATAGCCGACTATATGGTATGGGAGTTCACATTGTTGAAGGCCATACAGGTGCCTATAATTGCTTAAATCTACTTCATTTGGTGTCTGGTGGATAGTTGTCTCATTGGCAATCATACCACATCTCTTTATTTTTATATACTTGATTGGTCACTGATATTGTGTATATTGAGTGGTTGTAAGGAATATCTAACATATGTTTTATGACCAGAACCCCGTATTCATGACTCATCAGTGGTCAGGTTATTAAATCTTTTTCTCAAAGATTTAAGTGAAAGATCAACGATAATTTGCAGGTGGATTGGTTGCAATTTACATATTTCCCTTTCACACATGACATATGCCTTAACCTGATTTTCATGCTCCAGTGGTCAGGTTAATTTTCAATATCTTCAGTAATTATACATGATAGGTAAATTGTCAATTTTGAAATTCAATACAAACTATACTAGAATACTATATCCATGTAGTATTTTTCGTGGGGTTTTTGAGAATGTAAATGTTCAAACCAAAGAATAAAGATGTATGCTAAATACAAAACAGACAAATTTATGGATAGAAAATACTACTTTGAGATGAAAACATTCAGATAAATGTAATGAAGATATTGAGATGTGCTTTGTATAGATCTGATGAGTTAAGCCCTTTTTAACCGATTTTTATAGTTTGTTCTTTTGTTGTGCTATAACACCACTGTCCCAGGGTAGGGAGGGTTTGGCCATCCCATAATCATGTTTGACCTCACCACATTCTGTATTTGCCTGTCCCAAGTCGGGAGCCTGTAATTCAATGGTTGTTGTTTGTTGCTGTATTTCTTATTTGTTTTTATATAGGGTTAGGGTTAGGGTTTTTTATATAGATTAGACCATTGGTTTTCCTGTTTGAATGGTTTTACAATAGTCATTTTTGGGGCCTTTTATAGCTTGCTGTTTGGTGTGAGCCAAGGCTCTGTGTTGAAGGCCGTACTTTGACCTATAATGGTTTACTTTTACAAATTGTGACTTGGATGGAGAGTTGTCTCATTGGCACTCATACCACATCTCCTTATATCTACTTGAATGTATTAGGTCATGTAGGCTTTATTAGATCTAATGCTATAAAAATGTCTTCCCTTGACTTTTTTCAAGGGAAATTTTCAAATTTCCTATTTATAAAGTAATTAAGAATTGATATATAAATAATTTTAGGGGCAACATTTAATACTTGACATAAAGAATGTCAATATATATATATATATATATATATATATATTGACATTCTTTATATATATCACAAATTTGATTACCTGTCAACAGATTTGTTATAGCCTCCATCCGTAGTACTCCCTGAAAGGGTTAGCATCTATAATCGTTAAATTCATCTTTTTATAGTTTTCATTGACATTTCTTCACTATTCTAAAACTGTTTTTTTCAAGTTTTTTTGTGTTATACATTTTCACATGCTCCAATCTGACTGTGTCAGATATCTGTTTAAAGATACAACTTTATTAACTATCATGTAAATTTTACTGTCTTTAACAGAGGTGGAAGAAATGAAAAGACAACTGCAGGAACAGCTTAATCAAAACCAGTCAGAGATGGAACAAATGAAGAAATCATGGCAGCAAAAACTGGCGGAGTCAGAACAAGAAAACTTGGTGAGTGACTGAGTCAGAACAAGTAAGCTTGGTGAGTGACTGAGTCGGAACAAGAAAACTTGGTGAGTGACTGAGTCAGAACAAGTAAACTTGGTGAGTGACTAAGTCAAAATGGGAAAACTTGGTGAGTGACTGAGTCTGACTAGGAAAACTTGATGAGTTACTAAGTCAGAATTTGAGTAGCTGAGTCAGAACATGAAAACTTGGTCAGTGACTTAGTCAGCAACAAGAAATTTTGGTGAGTGTAAACAATAACTGACTGAGTCAGAACAGGAAATTAAGTGAGTGTTAAGGTTAAAAACTTGGTGAGTCAGAACAGGAAAACTAGGTGAGTGTTAGGTAAATATTGACTGAGTCAGAACAGATAATTTGGTAAGTATCACGAAAAACTGGCATGTTCATAACAGGAAAAATTGGTGAGTGTCAGGAAAAACTGGCATGGTCATAACAGGAAAACTTGGTGAGTGTCAGGAAAAGCTGCCATGGTCATAACAGGAAAACTTGGTGAGTGTCAGGAAAAAATGACTGAGTCAGAACTGGAAAGCTTTGTTAATTTGGACAAGAAAACTTGGTAAGTTACCATGGGAAAATAGCAGGAAAGTTCCTTACAGTAACTATTTTTGACAAGGCAAACTGAGTCATATCAGGAACACTAAGTATTTGTGACAAGAAAAACTGAGTCCTAACAGGAACACTGAGTATTTATGGCAAGGAAAACTGAGTCCTAACAGGAACACTGAGTATTTGTGACAAGGAAAACTGAGTCATGATAAAAAGACTTAGTATTTTTGACAAGGAAAAATGAGTCCTCATATAAACACTGAGTATTTGTGAGAAGGAAAACTGAGTCATAATCTGAACACTGAGTATTTATGGCAAGGAAAACTGAGTTCTAACGGGAACACTAAGTATTTATGACAAGGAAAACTGAGTCTTTAACAGAAACACTGAGTATTTGTGACAAGGAAAACTGAGTCCTAACATGAACACTGAGTATTTATGTCAAGGAAAACTGAGTCCAAACAGGAACACTGAGTATTTGTGACAAGGAAAACTGAGTCCTAACAGGAACACTGAGTATTTATGGCAAGGAAAACTGAGTCCTAAAAGGAACACTGAGTATTTTTGACAAGAAAAACTGAGTCATGATATAAAGAACGAGTATTTTTGACAAGGAAAAATGAGTCCTCATATAGACACTGAGTATTTGTGGGAAGGAAAACTGAGTCAGAATCTGAACGCTGAGTATTTGTGACAAGGAAAAATGAATCCTAACATGAACCCTGAGTATTTGTGACAAGGAAAACTGAGTCCTAACATGAACACTGAGTATTTATGTCAAGGAAAACTGAGTCCTAACAGAAACACTGAGTATTTATGACAAGGAATACTGAGTTTTAACAGAAACACTGAGTATTTGTGACAAGGAAAACTGAGTCTTAACATGAACACTGAGTATTTATGTCAAGGAAAACTTGAGTCCTGACAGGAACACTGAGTATTTGTGACAAGGAAAACTGAGTCCTTACAGGAACACTGAGTATTTATGACAAGGAATAATGAGTCTTAACAGAAACACTGAGTATTTGTGACAAGGAAAACTGAGTCCTAACATGAACAATGAGTATTTATGTCAAGGAAAACTGAGTCCTAACAGAAACACTGAGTATTTATATCAAGGAAAACTGATTTCTAAAAGGAACACTGAGTATTTGTGACAAGGAAAACTGAGTCCTAACAGGAACTCTGAGTATTTGTGTCACGGAAAATTGAGTCCTTACATGAACACTTAGTATTTTTGTCAAGGAAAACTGATTCCTAACAGGAACACTGAGTATTTGTGACAAGGAAAACTGAGTCCTAACATGAACACTGAGTATTTATGACAAGGAAAACTGAGTCCTAACATGAACACTGAGTATTTATGGCAAGGAAAAACTAAGGGAGTTTTCATTTGATGAAATTTTTATGACAAATTTTATTTTAAATAGTATTTTTAACTGTATGATGAAGGAAACTTTGAGCATCTGATAAATTTTTTTGGTGTAACTATTTAATAAATTACCATCTGATGTTTAAGATTCTACATAAGGACAGGATTATATCAAATACAAAGTTAATTGACTCAAAGCTATTAAAGTAGTATGCAATTAACCACACACAAAGTTATCTTATAATTCTTTGAGGAATGCATTATTTTAAAGTTACAAGCCTGACTACCAAGATGGCCGCCATGGCTAAAAAAAGAACATAGGGGTAAAATGTAGATTTTGGCTATTATCTCTGAAACCAAAGCATTGAGAGCAAATCTGTAAAATTGTTCAGCAGGTTAAGATCTATCTGCCCTGAAATTTTCAGACGAATCAGAAAACCCGTTGTGGGGTTGCTGCCCCTAAATTGGTAATTTTAAGGAAATTTTGCAGTTTTTGATTATTATCTTGAATATTATAATAGATAGAGATAAACTGTAAACATCAATAATGTTCAGCAAAGTAAGATGTTCTTTAAATTTTCTACTATATTTTTATTTCAGGGAAAATTAGAAGAAGATAAAAAGAAGAATGAAGATAGGAAAGTGATCCCACATTTCTGGAATCTGAATGAGGATCCAGCTTTGACAGCAATGGTTATACACTTCTGTAATGATGGTAAGTGATCCCACATTTCTGGAATCTCAATGAGAATCCTGCTTTGACAGCATCGGTTATACACTTCTGTAATGATGGTAAGTGATCCCACATTTCTGAAACCTCAATAAAGATCCTGCTTTGACAGCAATGGTTATACCCTTCTGTAATGATGGTAAGTGATCCCACATTTCTGGAATCTAAATGAGGATCCAGCTTTGACAGCAATGGTTATACACTTCTGTAATGATGGTAAGTGATCCCACATTTCTGGAATCTGAATGAGGATCCAGCCTTGACAGCAATGGTTATACACTTCTGTAATGATGGTTAGTGATCCCACATTTCTGGAATCTGAATGAGGATCCAGCCTTGACAGCAACGGTTATACACTTCTGTAATGATGGTAAGTGATCCCACATTTCTGGAATCTCAGTTAGGATATTGCTTTGACAGCAATGGTTATACACTTCTGTAATGATGGTAAGTGATCCCACATTTCTGGAATCTCAGTGAGGATCGTGCTTTGACAGCACTTCTGTTATGATGGTAGGAACATACTCTAGGATTGATAACTTTTACGTAATTTCAGAAATCCATTTATGATGATGAATAAGTCATGCTTGATGTATTCCTTTAAACTGCTATAAATAGTGTTTAATTTCCGCAGAATTATAAATATTGTTCTACTGCTCTTTTGGCAAGCATTTTATGATCAAACTTAATTGTAAGTTGTACTAAAATGTAATGAACATTTTCAGTCATAGATTGTTTTATTAAAGTGCTGCCGTCCTGTAAAAACGTGAGTTCAAATGACTTATGTATGTCTTACACATATCAACATAGACTACAGATAGGAAGAACTTTGTGGGATGCTAGAAAAGTTATTGAATCACATTTCCCTTTTATAGCATATGACTTAAAAAAAATATGTCATCATCAGTTGTACTGCATTTATAAAAATATCCTTAATGAGTGGGTACACATGTAACAAGCGACCTTTTTTCACATTTATTTAGAAGATTTTAGACTGCATTAGAATATATATCAATATTTTGATATTTTTTAGGGAAATCAACCATTGGTACAAAGAATGCCCAACCACCACCCAATATACAGATAAATGGACTTAGGTAAAATAAGAGACAAATATGTATTAATATATTGAACAATATTAACAAATATGTTAAACTGCTTAGTTTTGAAAAAAAGAATTGTTATGGTGCTAAAGCTATGGAATCCCTCATGGTTGTCGAGTTCGTTAAACCACCCTTGTAGAATAATGGCAAGTAACTGATAAATCTTCTTTTTAGCTCGCCTGGCCTGAAGGGCCAAGTGAGCTTTTCTCATCACTTGGCGTCCGTCATCCTCGTCGTCCGTCATTGTTATCTTTTTACAAAAATCTTCTCCTCTGAAACCACTTAGCCAAATTTAACCAAACTTGGCCACAATCATCATTAGGGCATCTAGTTTAAAAAATGTGCCAGATGACACCGCCAACCAACCAAGATACCAAGATGGCTGCCATGGCTAAAAATAGAACATAGGGGTAAAATGTAGATTTTGGCTTATATCTCTGAAACCAAAGCATTTAGAGTAAATCTGACATAGGATAAAACTGATTATCAGGTCAAGATCTATCTGCCCTGAAATTTTCAGACAAATCTGACAACCTGTTGTTGGGTTGCTGCCCCTGAATTGGTAATTTTAAGGAAATTTTGCAGTTTTTGGTTATTATCTTGAATATTATTATAGATAGAGATAAACTGTAAACAGCAATAATGTTCAGCAAAGTAAGATCTACAAATAAGTCGTCATGACCAAATTTGTCAGTCGACCCCTTTAGGAGTTATTGCCCTTTATAGTCAATTTTTTCGTAAATTTTTGTAATCTTTTACAAAAATCTTCTTCTCTGAAACTACAGAGACAAAGTTAACCATACTTGGCCATAATCATCATTAGGGTATCTAGTATAAAAAATTTGTCCGATGACCCCGCCTTCCAACCATCATGGCCTACTTGGTTAAAGATAGAACATAGGGGTAAAATGCAGTTTTTGGTTTATATCTCTGAAACTAAAGCATTTAGAGCAAATCTGACAGGTGGCAAAAATGTTCATCAGATTTAGATTTATCTGCCCTGAAATTTTCAGACGAATCCGACAACCTGTTGTTTGGTTGCTGCCCCTGAGTTAGTAATTTTACAGAAATTTTGCAGTTTTTTGTTATTATCTTAGAGTAATTTTACAGAAATTTTGCAGTTTTTTGTTATTATCTTAGATACCATTATAATATCTAATATCTAATGCTATTAATTATAATTATGTAAATACAGGTGAGCGACACAGGCTCTTGAGAGCCTCTAGTTAATGATATACTTTCCATAGGATTATTGCCCTTGGATATTGTCAGTTTTTATGTCCCTGCTGCAAGACAAAGAGGTACCCTTGTCTGTTTATACGTTTGTTTGTCTGTCTGTCTGTCTGACATATGCAACAAATGCCTCAATTAAATGTTATAAAACTTATACACAATGCTTATTACTTCCAAACACAGATTAAGTTTGAATTTGGTAGGTGTCACTGTCACTGTACTCGTGTTATGTCCCTTTAAAGATGGAAATTGCTGAATTTGCCATTTCCTCACTCTAAATTTTCTTTGCCTCAACCAAATGTTATGAAACTTCTATACAATGCTAATAACCACCAAACACAGATCGAGTTCAAATTTAAGTGGTGTCTCTTTCACAGTCCTCCAATTATGTCCCTTTATAATTTGAAAAATTATTGAATTTACCATACATTTACAAGCCGGGGCATCCATTCTTCTTTTATTTCTCACTGCATTTATAAACTACAAAAAAAACAGATATGACAGACATGAACCAAATACAACCACTGATCTACAGGCTCCTGACTTGGGACAGGCTCATAAAGAATGTGTGGGGTTAAGCATGTTAAACTAGGTGCTCAACCCTCCCCCTGACCTAGGACAGTGGTGTAACAGCACAACAAAAGAACAAACTATAAAAATCAGTATCAATTGGCTTAACTCAAAAGATCAGTATAAGGCTTAAAAACAATTAACATAAAAAAAATGTCCAAGGTATTATGATAGTTGTTCACATCATCTTTCATAGTATAATAAGACCCGTAACTATTGATTACATTTATCAAAGGTCTATATAAAACTTGCATGTCAATAGGTGTTTGTATGTTTGTCTATTGATTAACTCTGTTAACCTTCTTTGCTCATATACTTCATGTAATTATCATTTAATCAGGTATTTGAACTATTCAAGCAACTGGAAAGTTATTCAGTTTAAACAGCACATACCATTAGTAGCAATTCACTATTGTCTATGTTCTAAAAACTGCTTTCCCTAAAAAGTGTATAGGATGTGACACATAAATAGTGCAAAAAATATTTAATAAAAAAAAAATACTGGGAACTGGACTATTAGGAAACTTTATATTGTTTGGAATGAAATTCAGGATAGTCTCACCTTTAGTAGGTAATAAGCCTTTAAATGTTTAAGTATTGTTTGTTGTAAATTAATATCTTCAGAATTGTTATGTCAAAGGACAGCAACATTTACTTTTAGTCAGTTTCTACCAAGACCATGTTTTGATAAAAAAAAACCTTATAGTTATATTTGAATTTTATACTTATAAAAACCTTTTTCAGTATACAGAAACAGCATGCCATTGTGACTAACAAGGGAATGAATGTGACTTTAGAACCATGTTCTGGAGCTAAAATCTTAGTCAATGGTCAGAAAATTGCCAAAGGTGTGCAGTTACATCACAATGATAGGTAAGTAGATTGCCAAAGGTGTGCAGTTACATCACAATGATAGGTGAGTAGGTTGCTAAAGGTGTGCAGTTACATCACAATGACAGGTAAGTAGATTGCCAAAGGTGTGCATTTACATCACAATGATAGGTAAGTATATTGACAGTTACATCACAATGACAGTTATGTAGATTGCCAAAGGTGTGCAGTTACATCACAATGACAGGTATGTAGATTGCCAAAGGTGTGCAGTTACATCACAATGACAGATATGTAGATTGCCAAAGGTGTGCAGTTAGATCACAATGACAGGTATGTAGATTGCCAAAGGTGTGCAGTTACATCACAATGATAGGTAAGTATATTGACAGTAACATCACAATGATAGTGAGTAGATTGACAGTTACATCACAATGATAGGTAAGTAGATTGCCAAAGGTGTGCAGTTACATCACAATGATAGGTAAGTAGATTGCCAAAGGTGTGCAGTTACATCACAATTATAGGTAAGTAGATTGACAGTTACATCACAATTATAGGTAAGTAGATTGCCAAAGGTGTGCAGTTACATCACAATGACAGGTATGTAGATTGACAGTTACATCACAATGACAGGTAAGTAGATTGCCAAAGGTGTGCAGTTACATCACAATGATAGGTAAGTATATTGACAGTTACATCACAATGACAGGTAAGTAGATTGCCAAAGGTGTGCAGTTACATCACAATGATAGGTAAGTATATTGACAGTTACATCACAATGACAGGTATGTAGATTGCCAAAGGTGTGCAGTTACATCACAATGATAGGTAAGTAGATTGCCAAAGGTGTGCAGTTACATCACAATGATAGGTAAGTAGATTGCCAAAGGTGTGCAGTTACATCACAATGATAGGTAAGTATATTGACAGTTACATCACAATGATAGGTAAGTAGATTGCCAAAGGTGTGCAGTTACATCACAATTATAGGTAAGTAGATTGACAGTTACATCACAATGACAGGTAAGTAGATTGCCAAAGGTGTGCAGTTACATCACAATTATAGGTAAGTAGATTGCCAAAGGTGTGCAGTTACATCACAATGACAGGTATGTAGATTGACAGTTACATCACAATGACAGGTAAGTAGATTGCCAAAGGTGTGCAGTTACATCACAATTATAGGTAAGTAGATTGACAGTTACATCACAATGACAGGTAAGTAGATTGCCAAAGGTGTGCAGTTACATCACAATTATAGGTAAGTAGATTGCCAAAGGTGTGCAGTTACATCACAATTATAGGTAAGTAGATTGACAGTTACATCACAATTATAGGTAAGTAGATTGCCAAAGGTGTGCAGTTACATCACAATGACAGGTATGTAGATTGACAGTTACATCACAATGACAGGTAAGTAGATTGCCAAAGGTGTGCAGTTACATCACAATGATAGGTAAGTATATTGACAGTTACATCACAATGACAGGTAAGTAGATTGCCAAAGGTGTGCAGTTACATCACAATGATAGGTAAGTATATTGACAGTTACATCACAATGACAGGTATGTAGATTGCCAAAGGTGTGCAGTTACATCACAATGATAGGTAAGTAGATTGCCAAAGGTGTGCAGTTACATCACAATGATAGGTAAGTAGATTGCCAAAGGTGTGCAGTTACATCACAATGATAGGTATGTATATTGACAGTTACATCACAATGATAGGTAAGTATATTGACAGTTACATCACAATGATAGGTAAGTAGATTGCCAAAGGTGTGTAGTTACATCACAATGACATGTAAGTAGATTGCCAAAGGTGTGTAGTTACATCACAATGACAGGTAAGTGGATTGTCTAAGGTGTGTAGTTACATCACAATGATAGGTAAGTAGATTGCCAAAGGTGTGTAGTTACATCACAATGACAGGTATGTAGATTGCCAAAGGTGTGCAGTTACATCACAATGATAGGTGAGTAGATTGCCAAAGGTGTGCAGTTACATCACAATGACAGGTAAGTAGATTGACAGTTACATCACAATGATAGGTAAGAAGATTTCCAAAGGTGTGTAGTTACATCACAATGACAGGTATGTAGATTGCCAAAGGTGTGCAGTTACATCACAATGATAGGTGAGTAGATTGCCAAAGGTGTGCAGTTACATCACAATGACAGGTAAGTAGATTGACAGTTACATCACAATGATAGGTAAGTAGATTGCCAAAGGTGTGTAGTTACATCACAATGACAGGTATGTAGATTGCCAAAGGTGTGCAGTTACATCACAATGATAGGTGAGTAGATTGGCAAAGGTGTGCAGTTACATCACAATGACAGGTACGTAAATTGACAGATGCTTCATTTATAAAGAAAATAATCTTTTGAGTTCAATAATCAATGATACGACTTGGGTCAAAATAAAATAATGATGTGCTATACTTGTATTTTTAGATCAATTGCATGCACATCTAAAACAGGGTTAAACACTTTAGTAATAAGAAAAACATTCCCATATATGTCTGGTATTTTGTGGTACTAATATCCGTTTATTTTACCTTATGGAACAAAAGTGCAGAGGGTGTAATGTTCTGACCTGTCTGTCTGTCAGTCCATCTGTCTGTTTATTCTGTAAACAATCAGACATTTTCTGTTTATCATCACTTTGTTGTTGCATGATCTCTTCAAATTTGTTAAACGTTTCCACTCATCAATACCTTTTTTCTTTCTTTTTCTTTTTTGATTATCAGAAAAATCTCGAATGGGAACATTTTTAAAGTGGTGCAAAATAGTTTATGACTTTCATCTACATACGGCTCATCAGTGACGCTCAAATAAAAAAACGTTGGAAAGCCAAATCAAACACAAAGTTGAAAAGCATTGAGAGCAAAAAATTCCAAAAATATGTTTCCAATAAGAAACAAGACTAAAGTTTTTTTCATTTTTTTCTGCACTGAAATTGTATATAAATTTATCTTAGAGTATTTAGTCATTATATTTTATTTTACTTCATGTCAAAATGCCAGATTTTGTTTGGTTAATAAGAGGGAGACAATTTACTCTATCCCATGGCAAATACTCTATTACCCGGAGACGCTTGCTCAAGTGTGCGCTTTAATGAATACGGATGATTGTTATGTACAAGACGATATAGTTTATTACTTTTTTGAAATTTAATAGACAGTAATAACAGAACATTCAGTATAATAAATTAAATAACACATATCTGATAAGGTGATAGAGCAGATTGTTACCCCTCGAAAAGACATTGTCAACCTTGGCTTAGCCTCAGTTGACAATGTTTTCTTAGGGGTAACAATCTGCTCTATCACCCTCTCAGCTATGTGTTATTTATATAATGTGCCTGTCCTAAATCCTGAAGTCATATCTTAAATTTTCTATTTCTTTAGGAAAATGAGTATTGTTTGTAGATATTTGAAAGGCTCTGTTAAATTTACATACAATTTTGCTAAATTTTGTGCAGTTTAGATCTGAAGCTAGGTTTATGCTATTATGTTCTAAATTATTGGCTGTCATTTGGTAAACCAAGATGAAATTATGCATTTTTACATTAAAAAACTGAATCAGATAGGACAGTATTTCCTTAATTTTTATGAAAGATATTTGAGCTTTGTGGATATGTATTGCAAGAATACGGCCAATTCAAAAGTTCATGCAGTGTTATTCTACAACAATACAAACTGAACCACATTTATTTATTTCTCATCATCATTAGTCGTTAAATATGCATGTTAATAAATTCAAAATTAAAAAGTGAATTTACTAGATAATTTCATCTGACTACATCAGATGACACTTTGATTGTGTTTTTGTCTCCCAGACATCTACCCACTTGTCTTTTTATTCATATGTAGTTTGAACTAATGTTTGTCACCCTGTTAAATTTACAGAGTACTATTTGGACCAAACCATTTGTATGTCTTTCATCATCCAAAAGATGCATCCAAGGCTATGAAAGAAGGGAAATCAGAAGAAACACCAACATTTGACTCGGCTAATGAGGAAATAGCAGAGAAAGCTGGTCTTGTCAGACATGATGGGGCAACTTCAGGTAAAATTATCTCCCCTTAACATTTCCTTATTGTTCAGTTCTGGATTAACATTTTCTAGTCTTTCGTCATTCTTTGATATTCAGATTATATTATCCTATAAATATGATATGTTTTCTTACTTCTGACATATATCCTCCTTAATTCATTCTAGACTAAATCAATTCTATTCATCAGTAATTTCTACAGCTGTTATGATTTATAAAATTTATTTTAGTGTAGAAACATTTCCTTTAGAAATGACCTTGTAAATTAAACTTGATTCTGGATGAATTCCAATGATTGACATTTTTTTGACTTTGTTAATTCTCCTAAAACAATATTACAATCATGTACATACAACATTCAATTAAACAAAATGTATATCACCATACTAATTTTGACCAGAGAAAAATGCACAAATGTTGAACTGAGTCATCAAAACAAGGGGGAAAAAAACAAACAATGATAAAAATTTGTTGAAAGCCAATTTTCTTAGATAAAAGTAGAATAATAATTTTAATTTGTCCAAACCTGTCTGAGTATGTTATTGTAAATCATTTAAGCATGTCACTAAATTAGTTTTCTTTGTCTTTTACATCAATATTAATAGTGTGTTTAATTACCTATACAGCAATTATTTGCCCTCATCTAGAGCACTTCAATCTAAAAGAATTGCTGTGTTTGTCCGTTTAGAATAGAAATAATTCATGGGGGCTTGAATTTATACTGATTTTACCACAGGTTTGCACTTTGTGATGATATTTTACCACGAGTTATAGCGAGGGGTGAAATATTTATCATTAAGGGCCAACTCGTGGTAAAATCAGTATAAATTCAAGCCCATGAAATATTTCTTAAATCTTTCTTTAACAAAAATCTAAACAGTAATTTATATACGCAGATTGATAACCTTTTTAGCTCACCTGGCCCAAAGGGCCAAGTGAGCTTTTCTCATCACTTGGCGTCCGTCGTCCATCGTCGTCGTCCGTCCGTCGTCGTTAACTTTTACAAAAATCTTCTCCTCTGAAATTACTGGGCCAAATTTGACCAAACTTGGCCACAATCATCATTGGGGTATCAAGTTTTAAAAATGTGTCCGGTGACCCGGCCAACCAACCAAGATGGCCGCAATGGCTAAAAATAGAACATAGGGGTAAAATGTAGATTTTGGCTTATATCTCTGAAACCAAAGCATTTAGAGCAAATCTGACATGGAGTAAAATTGTTTATCAGGTCAAGATCTATCTGCCCTGAAATTTTCCGATGAATCCAACAACCTGTTGTTGGGTACTGCCCCTGAATTGGTAATTTTAAGGAAATTTTGCCGTTTTTGGTTATTATCTTGAATATTATTATAGATTAAGATAAACTGTAAACAGCAATAATGTTCAGCAAAGTAAGATCTACAAATAAGTCAACTTGACCAAAATGGTCAGTTGACCCCTTAAGGAGTTATTGCCCTTTATAGTCAATTTTTAACCATTTTTCATAAATTTTTGTAATCTTTTACAAAAATCTTCTTCTCTGAAACTACTAAGACAAATTTAACCAAACTTCTCCACAATCATCATTAGGGTATCTAGTTTAAAAAATGTGTCCGATGACCCCGTCCGCGAACCAAAATGGCCGACATGGCTAAAAAATAGTACATAGGGTAAAATGCAGTTTTTGGCTCATATCTCTGAAACCAAAGCATTTAGAGCAAATCTGATGGGATTAAATTGTTCATTAGGTCAAGATCTATCTGCCCTGAAATTTTCAGACCAATCAGGCAACACGTTGTTGGGTTGCTGCCCCTGAATTGGTAATTTTAAGAAAATTTTGCAGCTTTTGGTTATCTTGAATATTATTATAGATAGAGATAAACTGTAAACAGCAATAATGTACAGCAAAGTAAGATCTACAAATAAGTCAACATGACCAAATTTTCAATTGACCCCTTAAGGAGTTTTTGCCCTTTATAGTCATTTTTTTACAATTTTCATAAATTTTGTAAATTTTTGTAAATTTTTACAAAATATTTTCCACTGTCACTACAGTACCGGGCCAAGTTCATTATAGATAGAGATAATAGTAAGGAGCAAGAATGTTCATTAAAGTAAGATCTACAAACACATTACCATCACCAAAACACAATTTAGTCTTGAATCCATCTGTGTCCTTTGTTTAATATGCACATAGACCAAGGTGAGCGACACAGGCTCTTTAGAGCCTCTAGTTCTTTTTTGTCATGATTAAGTCTGGTCTCAGCTTAGCAGTATCTTGCTACCATAAAATGATTGAACATTTAACTTAATGAAATAAACAGAAGGGATCGATGGATAAAAAAATAGGAGAAAACTTTTAGGACTTCAGTTCTGTTAAGATCCTTCAATTTTAAATTCTATCAGTATTTAGTTGGAGATTTAGTTGTCATTTTTATGCCCCACCTACGATAGTAGAGGGGCATTAAGTTTTTTGGTCTGTGCGTCTGTTTGTTCGTCCATCCGTCCGTCCGTTCGTCCGTCTGTCCTGCTTCAGGTTAAATTTTTGGTCAAGGTAGTTTTTGATGAAGTTGAAGTCCAGTCAACTTGAAATTTAGTACACATGTTCCCTATGATATGATCTTTCTAATTGTAATGCCAAATTAGAGTTTTGACCACAATTTCATGGTCCACTGAACATAGAAAATGATAGTGCGAGTGGGGCATCCGTGTACTATGGACACATTCTTGTTCTGTAAAGATCCTTCAATGTTAAATTCTCTCAGTATTTAATGCATTATTTATATTAGACATGATAATGTTGATTGTCAGTGAGTGTTTTATTGCTGTGTGTAATGTGTTTGATGTGTTTAATCAGTTTCAGGTAATTAGGAAACAAAAGTGGTAACTATATTGTTGTTATATCACTATTTGTCAAGGCAGCTATTTTTACTTTACAGCATTTGTGTACATGGTTTTATGAATTGTGATGTTTATTTTTCAACAAGTTTGCCCATGTGTGTGACTTTAAAATATATGACCTTATATTAATGAGAAAGAGCTTCATGACCTAGTTTGATGTTTTTGGCATATAACCTACAGATATTTTGTTTGAAGCTGATTCTTGAATATTTTTAAATTAACAACTGTACAGAGGACAGTTGGAAGATGAAAAAACTTTATTTTTAAAAGTTAGAAATAATTGGTCAGTATTGTCAATCCATACAATACATCTCAAAATTATAAGTGAAAAACCAAACAAAAACTGAAAATTCTGTATTTTACAGAGATTTTAACTTCCCTTGAGGAAGGGGAGGGTAACTATAAAAATAGGAAAAGAAATGGAAAGAGAACATTTGAATCATTCTGTAGAATCTTTAATTTTGTTATTGTACGAGACACTTGCTCTTTCCTACTGCATGACATGAGATCTTTTACATCTGTTGTCACATCTATCAGGTTAAGTCATTGTTCTGTGATTTTGTGTACTTTTTTGAAACAGTACTCAAGTGTGTCTGTAACATCTTTAATCATCATAGAGATCCAGCTTAAAACACTGGATTTGTTTTATAACAGATCAAGATTTGTATATTATTTAAAATAAATACATGTCGTAAACAACGTTCGTATGTTACAATAAAATAATTAGTACAAAATACTACAATAATGCTTTGCCTTACTTAATATATTCTTCAATGATTGTAATGAAATAAAACCAAGTCTCATAGGAAAGCAATAAGTTCTTTTCGTAGCAAGTTTAACCTTTTGGAAACCTTCTAAAAACTTAAGGGAAAAATAACTTTATGATAACTATAGCTGAGCACAAAGTCAACTATTATCTTTGTCACAACATTTGTTGCTTTCATTTTTTTTTTCTATTTACTTTGCACCTATTATTTTTCTTAAGCTCTGAATTCAGATTCCTGTGAAATTGATTACTGTTTTATCAGCTTCTTGTTAATATGCTATGAGTTTTATTTGAGAGTGTTAAACAGTGTGGGGGAAACACAGGCTTAATCAGTGAATAGATATGCTGTCTGAAAGCATATTTTTTAAAAGCTAAATTAAATACTTTAAGTATATAAATTTTCTGGCATCAAAGGTTTGGTTTTATTATCACAGTATGTTACTGGGTAATTAATGCTTCGTAATGATAATATTCACTACAAACCAGTAAAAGTCTGAAATGGCCTATATCTGTACTCAACTGTACTGATTTTTACTCGACCAGTCTGAATTGGTCTGAATTTTACTCGACATTACTCGACCCCAGTCTTAACCATACTTGACCGTACTGATTTGTACTTGACCCTTATCTTTGCCATTGAAAATAGTCTGAACTATTACTCGACCAGTCTGAAACAGTCTTAACACATTCTCGACCTGTACTCGACCAATTTTTTTCAGTCTTAACCATACTCGACTAAAGGTCTGAATAATACTCTACCTGTCTTAACCATACTTGACCAAAAAACCTATACTTTTTTTTAATTTTAGCTGTTAAAATTAATTTCTTTTTTTCTGACATGACAACATCTTATATAATAATTTAATTATATTAATTTTAAAGTTTTGTTAAAATAAAGATTTTCTTTTAACTAAAAACCACAACTTTACTGAGGGTAATAAAACCTTATTAAGGTGCTTCTTGTTTGGCATGTGTTTTTTTTTTTTTTTTTAACTTAATTTTCCTAAATTCCTAAAGAAAAACTATATAGGTTTCATGGTTACATACAATAGTTATATAATTATCTTTTTAATGAGGTAACAACAGCCAACAAATCACTGAAATTGTTTAACCTTATATTAGAAATATATCTATTCTTATTATAATTTGGGATATCAAAAAGGGATAGAAAAATTAAAGAAATAGATAAAATTTTTCTTCTGATTAGTGGTAAAGTATAAAGTAATACCTCCTGCTTGAGGCAAACTCATTAAAAAGATCACACCTGGTCAGAGAGTATTAATTTCTAATTAGCATTCATTAAAAATTGCAACATCCTGTAAAACTTAAATCGCAAGGCCTTTTGAATTCACTAGATAAGTAATACACGAGTTTAAGAAAAAAGGGGCTTTCTTTTTACCTGTAAAACACACATGTACTGAGGTAATTATCCCTTATTAAAGTGCTTCTTGTATGCCATGTCTTTAATTTTGACAAAAGTTATTTAAATTTAATTGAAATAATTTTTTTCTGCAACTTTGGAACACATTAAAAAATGGTTATCAAGGATTGCTATGGAAGTTCTATTATCATGATTATATTAAATTCTTGGTTTTGCAAAACAAAGGTGTGATTTTTTAAATTTATTAAGTTGCTTTATATACTATTTTAAATATATTTTAATAAGAAAAATGTTCACTGCATTATTAACTAAACTCAACTGACACTATAAATCTATAGGAGGCTTAAGTTAATGGTGAAAATTGTCCAGTAACCATAAAATATATCTGAAACATTCAAAAAAATTTGAATAACATTGAAAGTATTAGTCACAATTCAGTTTTGAGATTATTTGATCAGCTTGTTTTATTTTTATTTTAAAGGTGATATATATATATATGTAAGTGTTGATAAATATGGTGTTGAATTTATATTATGTTTATTGTGAAATTTTGGTTTCAATGCCATATTGAATACATTTTAAATTTCAAATTGTTGTTCAAATTTTTAGCCAGGGGAAATAGCTGTTAAAAACAGTTCCTAAATTGATGAAATACAATAGATAGATACAAAAATTAGGTCTAGGTTGGTTAAGACTTAGTGAAGTATGGTTCAGACTAGGTCGAGTATGGTTCAGACTAGGTCGAGCATGGTTCAGACTAGGTCGAGCATGGTTCAGACTAGGTCGAGCATGGTTCAGACGAAAATAAAATTGTTAAGTACTGGTCGAGTAAAGGTCGAGTACAGACTGTTAAGTATGGTTCAGACTACAGTCGAGTATTATCAAGTAAATTTCAGACCATTTCAGACTGGTCGAGTAAAAATCAGTACAGTCGAGTACAAATATAGGCCATTTCAGACTTTTACTGGTTTGTAGTGATTGTACAATGTATGATAATAATATTGTATAATGTATGATAATAATATTGTACAATGTATGATAATAATATTGTACAATGTATGATAATAATATTGTATAATGTATGATAATAATATTGTACAATGTATGATAATAATATTGTATACAGGTATTTCTGTTCAACTTCAGTTTAAGACAATTGATTTTGTCATCAGACAATGTACATGTCACATAATAGTAAAGTGTATTTACACAAAAATGAGAAAAACACATGTCACATGATCTGTAAAAAAGTACATTGTCTCATAAAACATAAAAAGCACTTTTCATATTAAACATGAAAATAAAACGTACATGTCACATAAAACATGAAAAGTATGGCAGAGGCGTCACCAATTGTTAAGTTTCTGCTTAAGTCAGTTTGATAGGAACTACTTTTCTATAAAGTTGTATTACTATCAGTACATATAAGTTAGTCAACTATTTCGAGGCCCTGCCCCCTAGGTAATGGTCCAGTGACTTTCAATTTACAAGCAATTTTCAATGTTAAGTTTTCTGCTTAAGTCAGTTTGATAGGAACTACTTGTGATAGATCAATGATATTTTCTATAAAATCGCATTACTATCAGTACATATAAGTTTGTCAACTATTTCGAGGCCCTGCCCCCTAGGTAATGGTCCAGTGACTTTCAATTAACAAGCAATTTTCAATGTTAAGTTTTCTGCTCAAGTCAGTTTGATAGGAACTACTTGTGTGATAGATCAATGATATTTTCTATAAAGTTGCATTACTATCAGTATATATCAGTTTGACGACTAATTCAAGGCCCTGCCCCCTATGTCATGGTCAAGTAATTTTTAATTAATTTTTAATGTTAAGTTTTCTGATTAAGTTAGTTTGATAGGAACTACTTGTGATAGATCATTGATATTTTCTATAAAGTTGCATTACTACATTGTGATAATAAAAATAAAGTATTATTACTATCAGTACATATTAGTTTGATGCCCTCCCCCCTAGGTCATGGTCCAGAGACTTTGAATTAATTAGTAATGTTGCTGTCCATCAGATTGTCTTTTTTCAAATTATCTGCCGACAGGCTAGACACATCTCTGTGTCAACAGTTTGTTAGTCATGCTTGAAGATATTGATTTGATAATTGGTATATAGTTTTATCATGACAAGTTACAGATCAAGTTCGAATTTTGTTCCCGTCTGATGATTTTGTGCAGAGTTATGGTCCTTGGACTTAGAAAATTCACTCAAATAATCAGTTTTCTGCACTTTTTCTCGTCATGCTTGAAGATATTGATTTGATAATTGGTATATAGTTTTATCATGACAAGTTACAGATCAAGTTTGAATTTTGTTCCTGTCTGATGATTTTGTTCAGAGTTATGGTCCTTGGACTTAGAAAATTCACTTAAATAATCAGTTTTCAACACTTTTTTTCATCATGCTTGAAGATATTGACTTGATATTTGTTATATAGTTTACACCATGACAAGTTATAGATCAAGTTAGCATTTTGTTCCAATACAATGAATATTTAACTGGTAGGGGACTATGTATTGCCATGCTATACTCTCAAAATGCTTGTTTAAGATAACCTTTAATATTTAAAAGCAAATTATAGTAACAGTTATATTATTTCATTAATTCCACATAACTAGGCATGGCTTTCGTATAATGTTTTAATATTCTATTGAAAAAAAAAACTAGTAATACTGATTTCTAGATGTATGGACTCACAGGTTACATTTTCATGAGTAGATTTCATTATGTAGACATTAAAGGCATGCTCAGTAAGGAACCATTGTAATGCATCTCTAAAAAAAGCAACATTTCATAGACAATTAAAGTAATATATTAAAACCAATGTATTAAATTTACTAACATCAATTGTAAATTGAGATATGCCTGACTTTGGTATTAAAATTTAGTTTGTGAAGTGAGAAACAGTTTTTATCTACAAAAAGGTGTGACACACAGTAGTTTATCTGCACATAATGTAGGAAATTTAAGTTCAATATTTTTTTTAAATTTTAAATGCTTTATAAAATGTTTTAAGATAGAAAAAAATTAACATAAAAAAATCAAAATGGGATAACGCTTATCTCATTATTATATTCTGTAAAAATTAAGAATTCTTATTATTTGTAATTTTTTATGATTTAATATGTTATCATGAAGGTAAATATCATTTTTTAGGAAAACTAAAGATAACGAAAAGACTTTATTTGAATTTTAAACCAGCACATTGCATTTTTCTTTTAGATTCAATATCATTCACAATTTTAATAAGCTTCTTTTTGATTTCTGTGTTGTTTTGGATGTTAAATATTGCTTTGAATATATATCTCAAATACTTAATAAGTTGCTCTTTCATCCAAATACAGATAAGAATTATACATTATTGCAGGAAGACATAGAAAAGATTGTAGCCGTGTTGCAATTGAATGGTTGACAAGAAATGACAATGGTATATATAACATAATATTTTTTCATTTGTATGATTATAGAGGATGTTGTTTTACAAGAAGAGGTGGTTCAGTTGTTACCCATGGTTAATGAAGCTAATGCCATGTCTGATGAGCTCAAAAAGAAAGTACAATTTGAACTGGCTCTCATCTCACCACAGGCAAGGGGACTTAAAGATGGTAAAACAGAGGTAAATATTTTGATATATGTACAAAGAAAAAGTAGTTTCAGTTGGCTTAAGGCCTTGGTGACCCAAATTTTTCCTCTTGTTTAATTTTCTTATATTTACACCATTGAAAGGGTCAGGGTCCATGCATCATCTGCCAAAGCCAGAGCTCCAGATAAGCTGCGTATTTGCGTGATCACGCAATACAAATAATTAAAAACCCAATGCAATTGCCCATTGAAGGGTTCAAAAACCCAATTCATTCAAAGGAAAACCCAATTATATGCCAAAACCATGAGTTCTTAACGCTTTTATTCGCTATTGTTTGCGTTATTTACCCTTATCTGATTACAGTCGTCGCGTAAATCTATTTTTATAATATTTATAATTGGAAATTTCCTTTCGTTCTAAAAATAGAGCCCTGCATCAAGTACCCTGTTGGAATTTTCCGTTGCTCAAAAGGTACACGTGTTTATGAAAACATTTCGATCTTCTCGGCGTTTATCCAATTAGCGTTTGTCTTGTTGTCATATTTTTTTCGAATTGCTCGGGATTTATCATAACATACAATGAATTAAAACGAAAGTAAATATCCGATAAAAATATCAAATAGAAGCATGTTATCAGCTTCTTTTTGATACTTTAGGGAAAGTTATTATGATGATAACAAGACCCGTTTGCGTACCTTAACGAGAACATTGCTAAAACGATAAACACGGGGTTTTTTCAAGAACGAAATCAGCTGGAAAAAGTGAAAGGCCAAATCAATTATGACATGATATATGTAGTTGGAAAGCTTCAGAAACCAAAAGTTCTAATCAGCTGGGACAACTTAACCCAGATTTATGTAAATTAAATTAAACAAAAACATTCAAGTATAATTTTAGTTTATATATTATTTTTTTCATTTTAGTGAATACACATATCCGTTTTTTACGTCAATGCATCTTGACACTTTCTTTGTTTTGGTCTTATTGTTCTGTATGCTTATGATAGTTGTCGTATTGGCAAGTGCAGTTTAACATTGTCATTTATTTATTTGATGTTGCAGAATTATTTGTAAATTTAACTCTGTAAATTTAAGTTGAATGTGGTCTCCGTCATTAAACCTATAAACCTGGTCAAGGTTTTGGGGTATATCTTAAATCTGGGAACTACTTATTATTTTTATTAAAAAGTAGATCTGGCAAATAGGTGAAAGGACTTGCAAAACTTTCTTACAGCACCTAAATTTCACATATATTACATAAAAATCTAAACACTTAGCCACGCCTACCCCAACTTAACTGTAGGGTGATCATATGGGATCTAGAAAGGTAATTAGTAACTGTCCAACTAGTGACACCAGTTGCAGTTTCTATAAGTTGTGAGAAAATACAAAACTGGCAGAACGTTTAAGATGGAAAAACATCTGCATGGGGTTGATATAATGTGATTATAACATGCCTAAACATTCAATATTGTGTTGATGAAAAAACCCAATACATTAAGGAGCTTGGTGGTGAAAAACCCAAATTGATATTTGCTTGAGGGGTGAATTGGAATTGATCATGCAATTTCAAAACTTTATCACCCAATTACATAAAAAAATGGTGGGTAAAAACCCCAATTTGTGAATTCTTATCTGGAGCCTTGCAAAGCCTTGTTGAAATTTACAGTTACATCTTTTTTTAGGGTATATTGAAAATGACCAGTTTTTAGGTACCCTAAAAAATGGTTGAAAACACTAGCAGGCAAATATTAATTATTGTGTGTTTTTGCACATGTTCTCATTAGGAATATTCATGACTGTTAAAATGCATTGTATTGACATATTTTAAAGTAAATCTGAAATGTCATGTTAATATTTGCAGCCTGAATGTAAATATATGGCTGAAAGTTATTAAATAAGTCAAAAATTCTGGCACTCTCAGATAACACATTTATTTTTTCAGAAAAAAAAGTTATCGTTTAATTCCAGCAAAAAATTGCTTACACAATTATTTTTTATGCTTTGAAAATCCCAAACTTTTCTTGAATTTGACTGTTTGAAATTTACAAAATCTTCAAACAATTGGGCTTGCAGACATAAGAAAATATTTGGCAATATTAATTTTTCTATCTCTGGATTTTATTTTGTGTGATGTTAAAATTTAATGTTTTGACAGTTTGTCACTAGAATATTGCTGTTTGTATTTGAAAACCAAATACAGTTAAGTACAGCCTACCAGCCTTTAGCTTAACACCACAACATTATAACTTATTCAATCCATTTTTTCCAATAATCTTTTTTCATATTACCAAGACTTCGAAGTATATCATTTTTCAACCGGTTACCTAATCTGTGGAAGGACATTCTGGTACTCGGTCAAGTAAGAGCAACTAAAAGAAGTAAAATCAAGATTACAATCGGTGGAATTTTGGGAAAAACTACTAGTTTTTATGTTTTCTGTACACAACAAAATCATTGGAAGGCATTTATTTATCTCCCAAAATTGCACCTATTGTAAGCTTGATTTTACTTCTTTTAGTTGCTCTTAATTGACCTAGTTCAAGAATGTCCTACCGCAGACTCAAGCCAGAGAAGGTAACCTGTAGAAGCATTTCATGTATGAATGTTTATTTTCTACCTTTTCAGCTTTTGGTTTTTGGATCTTTAAAGAAATTTTATTCCTTGATTTAATGCTTGGTGGAGTTAAACTTGTCCAAGATTTGTCTCCCGTGCCCCAGGTCTACCCCTTAATTTTACGTAAAATCAAGGCATTCGGAAATGGCAAACATAGATTAATGCTAGTTTGTTTTATACACAAAACTCATATTTTCTGCTAGCTCTGATTTTTGATTAGTCACAGCACAAGCCAGGTAACCTATAGGTAACTGCTTCTGGATAGAGATTAGTTGAATGCAAACAATTTATTAATAACTTGAAAATATAGTTTAATTTGTTTGACAGATTATTGATCTTCTTTGTATATTAATGCTGCACTGATACACAGAAATACCACATTTGTGTATTAATGCTGCACTGATACAAAGAAATACCACATTTGTATATTAATGCTGCACTGATACACAGAAATACCACATTTGTATATTAATGCTGCACTGATACACAGAAATACCACATTTGTATATTAATGCTGCACTGATACACAGAAATACCACATTTGTATATTAATGCTGCAATGATACACAGAAATACCACATTTGTATATCAATGCTGCACTGATACACAGAAATACCACATTTGTGTATTAATGCTGAATGATACATATAGAATAATACATTTTCAGGTATTTAAATGCATTAACTAACGATACTGTCTCTCTGATTTATTTTATTAGCTGTTCCCTCCTGTAGAATACAACTCATCTGATTTATTTTATTAGCTGTTCCCTCCTGTAGAATACAACCCATCTGATTTATTTTATTATCTGTTCCCTCCTGTAGAATACAACCCATCTGATTATTTTATTAGCTGTTCCATCCTGTAGAATACAACTCATCTGATTTATTATACGATTGCAAAAAAATTTTGAGGTTGTATATTGGTATGACGTTGTTGTCGTCGTCGTCTGAAGACACATTGGTTTTCGCACTCTAACTTTAGTTTAAGGGCATCCGATACAGTTTCTCGATATAATGTCATTTTTATAATTTTGAAATATGTTGTAGGCCTTGGCGAGTTATTAAATAAAACACAAAATAAAACATAGGTCACCATGCTTGTTTTCGAGAAAATTGAGGCTGAAAATTGGGGATTTGTGCAATTTTGTAAAAAAGTTAGGCAATGTTATAAAATTTTTGGAGCAGATATTCTTCGTCGTAAATTATTAAGATCGGGTTCAATTTGAAGCTGTGATAAGACACAATAAGGAAAAAAATAAATCCCTACACGAATGACTATACAATTATGCAAACCTTGCTTGACATTGCGGACCAGATGCTCAAAGTGGTATTTTTTTTAACCTAAAAATAGGGAAATAAAGTGTTTCTGAAAATGTCATTTTTATCATTTTTCTACATAAACTGCATTTTGTCATGCTTTCTCCAAATCTCAAATAAAAAATATATGTCACCGTGCTGGGTTCCATGATAAACGCGAGTTATCCTAAAAATTGAGTCCCCCCCCCTTTGGAACCTCAACGTTAGCGCTAAAATGCACGACGTCGCTGGCAGACAATCTCGACGTTATCTCTGCAAGTTACCGGCGACATTTTTTAGATGTATAAATATTGCTTGTAAACAGCTACCTATAAATTGGTCAAATTGTTTTCGGAAATAAAATCATGTGAATCATAAATACCTGTCTCTGTTTGTGGTCTAAGTGAGAAACATCGCAAAAAAAGTTATTACGGACTGTTGATAATTTTACGGCTTTTAGAATTAAAGACTCGGCAATTTAGAACTTGACATACAGGTACATGTACTGTACACACTCGTGTATTATTTTTTACAATATGTTGACCTCTAGATGTTGTTTTTTGTTTTGTTTTGTTTGGTGGGCTGCTGTTTCATTACAATACTCTTTAAAATCCTTTTATTCACCTTTTAATCATTTTTTAGAATTTCACATTTATTCATAAAATAAAACTTTTATTACGGTCAATGACTGCAATTGAATAAAATTTATAGGCTTCTGAATAGTTTTAAAGTTCACTTGATAAAATTATCTCCACTGGATCACAGCACAAAGGTTACTTACATGAGGTCTTTTCCTGCAAACGGAACTTCTTTTTTGTACATAAATTAGGCCGCTAGTTTTCTCGTCTGAATTGTTTTACAGTGTCATTTTGGGGCCTTCTATAGTTGACTATGCGGTATGGGCTTTGCTCATTGTTGAAGACCGTACGATGACCTATAGTTGTTCATTTCTGTGTCATGTTTGTCTCTTGTGGAGAGTTGTCTTATCGGCAATTACACCACATCTTCTTTTTTTATGTTGTCAGAAAACAAAAACAAAATCTTATAAAGGAGAATCTTCAATTTGCCAAAGGATGCTTTTGTCCAGACAGAGAAACTAAACCATAATTTTGAAATTTTTG